CCATCTGCACTCGCCCCCTATCGTCCGGTGAAGCTGTAAAGGACAGCTGCGGCCAACAGCCTAATGCTGTTGGCCGCAGCTGTCCTTTACAGCAGTAGTCCGAAAAAAATAAATACACACAAATAGGTGGGACAGAGAAACTTACGCAGACGATTTTCAATAAAATCTACTATTTATTACACTCGTCAATTCAGCCATTAGTGTTCTTACAAGTTTATAAATTAGAATTTCAAAGAAAACAGTAAATTCATTCCCACACGCTGTAACCTAAGGGGTCTCGGACAGTGCGGTTTCAGAGGAGCTTCCTCCCGCGTACACTTACATTGTGTAATGAACTACCTGCCGAGGTTTTCTCGAGACTACAGCATGCAGTTTTTCAAGAAGGGTATATTAAGGTTTCTTAAGGGTCGTGTCAACGCCCACATTCCGATAGATATCATTAAGTTCGTCATTACCATGAGACTGTCCGTTTGTTTGCCACATAAGTTGTATAGAAAAAAAACTATATACAGTTATGTACCCCTCCGATCGATCCCCCGTCCAATTCAAACGGGGATCGAAATTACGACGGCCTGAGCCGAAGCTCAAACCCCTAGTCGTATTCGTCAAGCGGGAGTTGTCCTTCAGCCGCTCCATAAGTCCTTCCATTGGTTTGGAGTGTCATCTGCACTCGTCTCCTATCGTCCGGTGAAGCTGTAAAGGCCAGCGGCCAACAGCATTAGAGTAGTCCGAAAAAAGTTATGCGTTTATCAAACACTTTTTTCATTTACTTTTAAGTTGAGAATCCGTAATGGAACCCACGTGCTCGAACCACTATTTTGAACAAACACACCGATTTATTTACAAGTCACACGGTCGAAGTCAAGGTTGTTTTGTAAAGTAAAACGTACAGCGCTGTATTTGTTCTTATAGGTAGACGCCATTTTCTCAGACTAATAAATTCAAACAATATATCTTTACACGTCTACACAAAATGTTAATAATAACCCTGGACAATTAACAGCGCCATCTAGTTCCAAGCTAAGCAGAGCTTGTGTTATGGGTACTAGACAACTGATATAAATACATAGATACGTTTTTGTTGTGAAATAATACTAATAATTGTAAAAAAATTCAATAAAGTTTAAACAAATAAATAAATAAATAATCTCAGGACAATTCACACAGCGCCATCTAGAGTCATCGCCATCCCAAGTTAAGCTAGCTAAAGCTTGTGTTATGGGTACTAGATAACTGATACAAATACATAGATTTGTTTTCATAAATACGTATATACTATATATAGAAAACACCCAGATACAAATAATCATATCCAAGAATACAAATGTTGGTACCGTGCGAGGAATCGAACTCGCGACCTTCGGAAGTAAGGCACTGTGCCAGTCGGCCTGAGATATTATTATCATCATCATCTGCTTCTTCCTTATCCCATTTATTTGTGGTCGTCGTAATATGTTTTTCTCTTCCATTCATCTCTGTTCGCAGTCATCTCGTTATTCACTCCTTTTCTTACCATATCATCTTTCACACATCCATCTCTTTTCCTGAGATATCATTATCATCATTATATTAAAAAAATAATCAACATTCTTGAGTTGTATGAGCTATCTAAATATATATAACTCAAAGGTGACTGACATAGTGATCTATCAACGGAGAGCCCAAACCACTGGACGGATCGGACTGAAATTTCGCATGCAGGTAGATGTTATGACGTAGGCATCCGCTAAGAAAGGATTTTAATTAATCCTAAAATAAAATTGGGAGTGAAAGTTTGTATGAAACTTTGTCAATTTTAAACCGATCGGGTTGAGACTTTGCATACATAAAGCTACTATGACGTAGGCATCCTCTAAGAAAGAATTTTGATAAATTCCATCCCTAAGGGGATAAATTAACGCCAGCGAAGCCACGGGCAAAAGCTAGTCTTTCTATAATTATTTCGTTTTACATATGTATTGTAAATTATCCTTTGCAAATGGTAAATGAGTACATTTATCACTATATTCAAATTTATCGTTTGTAGCTAATTAAGAACAGTCTAACCTTCAGTTTTAAACTAAATTTTGAACGCTATTGTTACCGATTGCTACATATTATGTTTTAATAGAAAAAAATACGTTGGAACGTAATTTTTTTTAGAATTAAGTGAACTTTTTAATTTTAAAAGAGAAGGGCTTATGTTCGTGCCTTGCGGTACGCCTTGAGAGAGGCATATGTCCAGCAGTGGACTGATGCTTTTAATCATTACATAGTATAAAACACTGTAGCTGTCTGTCCGTCTCTATGTATGCTTAAATCTTTAAAACTACGCAACGGATTTTGAAGCGGTTTTTTAATAGATAGAGTGATTCAAGAGGAAGGTTTATATATATAATACATGTACACCCGAGCGAAGCCGGGGCGAGTAGCTAGTTATTATCTATACTAATATAATAAAGCTGAAGAGCTTGTTTGTTTGTTTGAACGCGCTAATCTCAAGAACTAGTGGTTCGAATTGAAAAATTCTTTTCGTATTGGATAGTCCATTTGTCAAGGAAGGCTTTAAGCTATATAACATTACGCTACGACCAATAGGAGCGGAGCTGCAATGAAAAATATTGCAAAAGGTGGGGAAATGAAATGCAGACTAAGTTTTTTTTTCGGGCTACTCTAATGCTGTTGGCCGCAGCTGGCCTTTACAGCTTCACTGGTTGATTATTCAGTAGGTCTGAGAATGTGCTACTATATATTTTTCATACCTCTAAGTGATAAGTGTTGTCCATTCCTTACATTTTTTTTAATTTTATTGGTCAAAATTTTTATTTTTTTTAACCATAATTTTCACCCTCCTATTTTTACCATCTATCCCTATTTTTTAATACCGATTTCAATTTATATGGTAAAACAACGTTTGCTGGGTCAGCTAGTAATAACAAAAAGGCGATATTTTTTCTTTTTTTTCTGCGATAATCTAATTTTTTCTTTTTTTCCTTGCCATAACTGAGACATGCAAAGGACTCGTTAATTTCGGACTTTCGTGATGCTGGAGCGGTTGTTTAGTTATATAGTTTGCCGCTAACTGCAATTTGAGATAAACTTGTTCTTTTTGGAAATAAATTGGTACCGGTACATATAATTATCCACGTTAGAAATTGTTTTGTAAGAACCGTTGAATATTCTTTAATTTTCTACATGATGAAATAATTTTATACACTAGCTGTGCAGCTCGCAGTTTCGCGTACGTTCAATTTCAATAAAAAATATAGCCAACATATAGGTTATATTTTTTATAGCCTATATGTTGCTATATATGTATATAATAATGTAGATTATTCGATTGTATAAGCATATAAAAAAAAATATCTACCGCTCGTTCGGAAAGCTGTCTCATCACAAGAAGAACGAGCAAGAAACTCTGGTGTTGCTCTTTTAAATAATCCTCGAAGTCGAAACGTGTGAATACAAACTACCAACCAGCACAATTTTTTTTGGGTCAAATATAAATATACAATAAGATTAAATCAGTTGTAGTGATAAGAGCAGACCAGTCCCTACAAGCAGCATTCGTTCACGAGTATGAGGGATAAGCCAGCCATCACTGCGCTCGACCATATTTTAGGGAGCCCAATGACCCGGCCCACCACGCCGTCACATGTCTGGATATTTTAGTGAGCATGACTACTCATTCCACTCGACCACGTCACAGCTACTTATGGAGCAGAAGGAAGGACTTATGGAGCGGCTGAAGGACAACTCCCGCCTGACGGATACGACTTTAGTCTGAGGGCACCGCTAGGGGTAATAGTGAGTTTGCTGGTGCTATCTCTTAGACTAGCAGCGTACCGTGACTTCTCTCCTGTTGTTATCTCTTATCATCTATTGTCACTGCCCGTTATCTCTTATCTCGTGGGAATTTTGGGAAATCGTTTCATAGTGACTGCGTACGGGATACAAGCAACCTATTTTAAAGATTTCAAGTCTAAGCCGTTGCTGAGATTAGTGCGAACAAACGTACATACAAATATTGTACAGAATAGAATAGAATAGAAAATCCTTTATTCAAATATACGTAAGCAGCATTTTTATCTATACAGCTATACCTACATATAAATAAAATTGTAGTGTCTGTTTGTAATATTGAAATAACCGTTTTTTACTACATGCATATGAATCTAAATACGGTATACGGTACATACATCAAAATAACATTTTTTAAAATTTTTGCCAGTCGTTTTGTTCCGGCTAATCTTTGAAATGGCTGGACCGATTTTGACGGGACTTTTATTAGCTGGTAGCTGATATAATGAAGAGTAACTTAGGCTACTTTTATTTTAGAAAAATAAAGTTGAATTCCACGAGGACGAAGTCGCGAGTACAGTTAGTAGATAGATATAAAATATATAAATTCAATAAGACTCCACTTCACAATATGTACATAGGTACTTATTTTTTTAATTAGGACATGAGATCATCAATTTTTTAAGTATTTAGGTTAAGTTAACTGAACCTATATCATACTAGCTATTCTTGCGACTTCGTCCACGTGGAATTTAACTGTATTTTTCTAAAATAAAAGTAGCCTAAGTTACTCTTTATAACATCAGCTACCTGTCAAAAAGAGTCCCGTCAAAATCGGTCCAACTATTTCATAGATTACCCGGAACAAACAAATGGACAAAAATTGTAAAAAGTGTTATTTTGGTGTATGTACCGTAATTATATTCACATGCATGTAGTAAAAACGGTTATTTCAATATTACAAACAGACACCAATTTTATTTATATGTATAGATTTGACAACGTATAGGGGTCATCTAGTTGTATAAAAATAAACGAATTTTATGTACACAAAGTCGAAGTCTCAACTAGTTTATTTGTATATCTGTTGGGTCAGTTTTCTTGTAAAAGTCGGGGGTACATATATAAAACTTAAGAATGCGTCACTAACGCAGTAAAACGTCACGTTATCTTAATTGCTATACCGCTCCAAAACCAAACGACAAATTCTATTAACTCACCTCCATAAGTTATCACATTATCATGGCGCAACTCGACCAAAAACAATAACTATTATTGCACTGCATTTATATTTTTAATCACGATCCACACCACAGACTATCAAAACACAGCTCAAACTCACAACTCCGCAAAAACTAAATGCACTAAAACAACAATGTGTTCGAAATTCAAATTAATTTGTCGCAGAGTAATGCGCGTTTTGCCGCGAAAACGCACAACTCGTGACACGTGGTTAACAAAACGCGGCGAGCGTTCAACTGAGTTTTTCATTGCAGCGCGGAGGCGTTTACTGTGATATTACGTTGTTTGTTCATTTTCGACTGTATCGTATAGGTAAGTATACAATGCTGCTTTAAAACTTTTGTACGCGAACTGTAATTGTGCAAGACCAGCGTTGTATAATAATATATAATGGATATCAGATTTAATATAACGACAATATCTAATTAATAACTATATAATGCTGCTTTAAATGCATTTGCATTCGAATTCAAACTGGTTAAAGCCAGCGTTGTATACTGATATAAGATATAGTTGATAAAAAATTGATATAATTTAATACAACGACACTATCTAATTGGTAATTATATAATGCTGCTTTAAATTACTTGCATCCGAATTCTAACTGTTTAAAGCCAGCGTTGTATACTGATATTGTGTATAAAAGGAGTTATCAAATTCAATGTAACAAAGTATTGCGTAATTAGTTCAATTGATTAATGATTATGTTGATTTTGTCATTGCAATGCAATTTATACTGATTTCTTTGATCAAGTCGTTTGCGCGGTCAAGACTGACATTAACAATAAGTTTTTTTTAATGATTGACAATAGACTTTGAAGGCCTCGGTGATTTAGCGGTTTAACACACCGCTTCACTTCAGATGGTCGTGGGTTCGATTCCTCGCACGGTACTAATATTTGTATTCATGAGTATGATTGTTTATATTGGTGATTGCTTGTATATTATTGCGTATTTTATTTAAAAAAAATTGAGTATATATTATAGAATGGTGCACCCGCCTGCGCTAATGGGCTGACGGTGTACGCTGGCGGGACACCAGTGGAGGATGATAACATGAACATGAGGTCAGGTCAGCACACCGTGACAAATTCACCAAGAATTTATCACGATGGCTTCCAGGGGGAACCGCGTGGAGGTCAACCTGACATGGTACATTGCTAGCACTAAGATCAGCAGTCCACATTACTAACAATCCACTTTCCCCCCAATTCAGGGCACTTGTCATAGTGGTCAGATGAAGACATTGCCTTCCTTTCCTTCTGTGTTATCCGAAAGACCTTACTGCTGAGAGTCTCGAGCTTACGCTCTTTGGCCGGGCGTACGACATTGCGTGTCGGTTAAATAGAAAAATGGCAGTATACAAAATGTAGATTTTTACAAGACAAAATTGTATGTAAATTATTTTCCCTTTAAAGTGTTAAATTTACACATAAGTATTGTATATCATTTTAAAAGTGTTTAGATAATGATTAAGACGGCGTGGTTAATTTAATTGACTTATATAAAAGGATGTAATTCTAGATTCTAATTTGAGAATGTCATTTTTTTATTTAATGACGTATTTTGTATTAGTAGCAACAATTCTATTTTGCAGGGGAGGGATTATTAGTACTAGGTAATAGTGGACTCACTGCTAGCAATGTACCATGTCAGATTGACCTCAACGCGGTTCCCCCTGGAAACCATCGTGATAAATTCCTGGTCAGTTAGGACCTGACCTCATGTACATCTTATCATCCTCCACTGGTGCCCCGCCACCGTAAACCGTTAGCGCAGGCGGGTGCACCATTACATTATCATCAATTATAATAATTATACTTTTAATTTTTATTTAATTCAATAATAAATATGGAAAAATAACGAAGTCCACTTATATTTAATTGATAATGTAATGATTTTTCTAATTTCTTAATGATAAACTTCATTAAGGCACAGGGACGGATCGTGATATTGTGGGGCCCTGGGCTAAATCTACTTAGGGACCTACCTAATTATATTACTCAACTAAAATAATACACCGACCAAAAACAAGCGACCAGAAACTCCCCGTTCCTTTCTATAGACGCGCACTTGCATGGTTTGATTGATCTCATGGTTGCCAACCTTATGATAGGTTTTTTAACATTCTAGATATTTTTTATATTCTAAATATCGTTTCAGTGAGGACTGGTGGCCATTTGTATCCTCGGGGCCCTGGGTTCCAGCCCAAAAAGCCCTTAGAGATCCGCCCCTATTAAGGCACTACTTGGTCGCTCCAGGCTTGTCACTTTAATTTATTTGACGGATTCGAGGAAATAATAAGCACACAGGTTTACTTCCAATGGTCGCGGGTTCGATTCCTAGTACAGTGCACACATTTATATTCATAAAGTTGTTTGTAGCGGTCAGGGTGTTTTCTATGTATATTATGTATGTATTTACAAAATAAAAAGTATTTTTATCAGTTGTCTCGTATCCATAACACAAGCTCTGCTTACCGTGGGACTAGATGGCGCTGTGTTAATGTTAAACCGTTTTTTACTACATGCATATGAATATAAATATGGTACATACACCAAAAATAATATTGTTACAATTTTTGTCTGTCTGTTTGTTCCGGCTAATCTCAGAAAAATAAAGTTAAATTCCACGCGGACAAAGTCGCGGGTACAGCTAGTATTAAATAATATCTCAGGACAACTCACACAGCGCCATCTAGTCCCAAGCTAACCACAACTTCTGTTATGGGACAATATAAATACATACATACATTTTTTTTGTAAATACATACATAATATACATAGAAAACACCCAGATCGACAAACAATCATAATCATGAACACAAACATTTGTGTTCAGTAAGCCGGTGTGCAAAACCGCTCGACTGCCGAAGCCGTCAAAAGGAGGTACAGTATAAAAAAAAAACATATGACAATCAGATTTCAATTTAATTGATGTTTAAGTTTTACAATCAAACAGGTCTGTTACACTGCAATTATGTATTTAATTTAAAATTAGACACAATCGAAATTCACAACACGAGTTCAGCTATATCTCTTAATAAACATTTAAATCTACGACTATGTAATTAGGTACAGGATATGTGAATTTTGAGCCAAAAATCGATTTAACATTACGTAATTTTGTTTTACAATATCATTATTATTTACAATTATATCTATTAGACGTATAAATAAGCTTTTTTTTTTATTAGAACTGTGTTCACACTGTATAACATGTAAGTATTCAGTTTTGGGACAAACGGGGAACGAACTGGAGGCCTTCGGAATGTGGTGTTGGAGAAGGATGGAAAGAATTAGCTGGAAAGATAAAGTAAGAAACGAAGAAGTAACAGGGTAAAAGAAAAAAGGCAAATATTGAACACAATAGAAAATAGACGAGGAGAAATGTTGGCACACTTGATACGGCACGATGATCTCATGAAAATTATTATTGAGGCAAAGATAGAAGGAAAGAGGGGGAGGGGAAGACCAAGGCATAGCTACATCAAGCAAATTAAGAAGATGGGAGTCGTGTCGTATCAAGATTTAAAGAGCACGATGGAAGATCGCGGAAAGTGCTCAGAGCTCCACCGATAAGAGCGTAGCTCTTAAATTTTGAATTAATGAAAAAGGACTTGTATCCAGAGCCGTAAAACATATTAATAAAAAAACGTAGGTATTGTTCAGTGTTCGTTCTATCTCTGTTCAGCGAACTTGCGTCTGCCTTCACCCGACCGGGATAGCAATACTTTCGATCGAAGTTCAGCCGTAAATATTTAATTTCGACTCTACTTGGCTCACTCTACATATTATTATCTATACATACATATAAATAAAACTGGAGTGTCTGTTTGTAATACTGAAATAACCGTTTTTTACTACATTCATACGAATATAACGTTAAATTAAACTGCCAACAAAGTACTATCACTACATAGTATAAAATAAAGTCGCTGTCTCTGTCTGTCCCTATGTATGCTTAAATCTTTAAAACTACGCAACGGATTTCGAAGCGGTTTTTTTTAATAGATAGAGTGATTCAAGAGGAAGGTTTATATATATAATACATGCATAATATTGTAGAGAATCACTGATAAATTTAGAAGTTTCTAATGTGATGTAACTAAAGATATTTTGTTGAGCTTACGTTGCCAACGCTGGACCCCATCTGATATTTAGTATCAGTATTGCACCCGTGCAAAGCTGGGCGGGTCGCTAGTATATTACTATGTATAGATCTACGTAAATATTTATTATATAACTAATATTTATAGATGTACTCTATACTTTGGCGAAGCGTATATTTACAAAACAATTTATTTATAATAATGAAGAAAATATACAATCGACTAACATTATTTGAAACAGTCTTTAAAATAATATTATGTACTTAATTAATAACAATAGGACTATTATACACAACAAAATATATACTAAAATCTATACATATAAATAGAATTGGAGTGTCTGTTTGTAATATTGTAATAACAGTTTTTTACTACACGCATATGAATATGAATACGGTACATACACCAAAATATAATTTTTTACCTTTTTTGTCTATCTGTCTGTCTGTTTGTTGCAGCTAATCTCTGAAATGGCTAGACCGATTCTGACGGGACTTTTATATGCAGATAGCTGATGTAATAAGGAGTAACTTAGGCTACTTTTATTTTAGAAATATAAAGTTAAATTCCACGCGGACGAAGTCGCGGAAGCAACTAGTTAAAATGTAAAACAAAATATTCTATATACGTCACCTTACTGTCTACAATTCTGTAAAGAATTCCAAGTATATATTTTATGTAAATACAAAAAAAATCATGAGCATAAAAAAAAACAAATTTCATACAATTAAAAATGTAATATGATAATGTGTTAAAAAGTAAAAAAAAAATATTTTATATAAGTCACCTTATTGTTTACAATTCTGTGAAGAATTCCAATTATTTATTTTATAGAAATATAAAAAAAAATCGTCATCATAAAAAAAATAATACGTAGAATTAAAAATGTAATATGATAATACATACGTAAGTAATTTTTAACAGCAGTCAAACATCCTATTACGCTAAATATAAATATATTTATAAATATATATATATTTATAAATATATATATATTTATTAAAACCACAGTTTCATTCAAATCCTAGTTTATAAATAAATTTAACAATCACGAGAAATTGGAGATCAATATTGGTAACTACAGCTGTTTAATAAATTCCTTTGGCTCATTATGCATTTAATAATTAAAAAAAAAATACTCTGATGATACAAATCACATATAAGAGTTTATTTCTATCAACATTATTAATATTAACCAGGTCTTAACACGAACTAATTTTATGGTAATTAAACATTACCTGTAACCGAATGTTAGTTTCGGATAATATCGGATAGGGACGGAGCCTAATTGAGACACGTTATGTAACCATTTTATTAGCTATTTGTATTTTACTTTTGATATTCCTTAAAAAATTTATATCTGTAACTGAAAACATATTCGTAACCGTAACCGAATCCGAAACAAGTTTCGGATAATATCGGACAGGAGCGGAGCCTAAAGAAACTACTAAATGTTGAAATAACACCATTTTATTAGCTATTTGTATTATAATTTTGAAATTCTTTAATAAAATCATATCCGAAACTAACGGATGATCCGAAATAATTTCATATCCTCATCCGTATCCGTATCCGGTATAATAATCATTCCTATATCCGAAACCTATCCGTATCCGAAATTTCATATCCATAACCTCTCTCGACGTTTCGACTAGGTTGCACTGGCCGTGGTCAAGAGCTAACTGGAGCCACAGCGATGTCAATGTAGATAGGTGACAGTTTTTTTATCTACCGTCACTAGATTGTTCAACGAAAATTCGCGACACACAGCACTCACGGTATCCGTACACTTATCGACTGTTGATGTTACTGTACTTTGGTCGAATTTATTTATGACTGGTTACCAAGCAGATGATAATTTTAAGGCATCCTCTCTGTTGTTGTCGGGAGAGGTAAAAACATTTATCTATACATATATATAAAATTGGAGTGTCTGTTTGTAATATTGAAAGAACCGTTTTTTACTACATGCATATGAATATAAATACGATACATACACCAAAACAATATTTTTACAATCTTTGTCTATCTGTCTGTTTGTTCCGGCTAATGTCTGTAATGGCTGGACCGATTTTGCCGGGACTTTTTTTGGCAGGTAGCTGATGTAACTAGGCTATTTTTAATTTAGAAAAATTCTTTTATTTTAGGAAAATAAAGTTAAATTCCACGCGGACGAAGTCGCGGGACAAACTAGCTGTAGTTTGCCATAAAATTATTCGTGTTCTATAATTTAAACATAATTTAAGAATTAAGTATCTCAAATTAAATCAAAATATATTTATTCATGTAGGTCTATTACAGACTCTTATGATATGTCAAATCTCCCGTCAGTTGGGAGTGATTCCGAGATGGAAAGAACTGACAAGAAACTCAACTCGTATTCTTTTCAAATAAATGTTGTACATGTTTACAATAATACAGATTCATTTTTAAATTCAATTTGGGAGAATAGAGTGACCACCAGCATATGCTACTGCAATTTTGTCATAAGGAAATAGACTATCTAACCTACAAATATATATTTAAAAGTAAAATCAAATGCCCAAGTCTTTAATCTGTCATTCAATAGACTGAGCTGTCAGTTTTATTAATAAGATATGGATGGAAAAGCAGCAAAGATAAAAAACAAAGTCATCATTACATAGTCTATATATCAACATAGTGATCTATCAACGCACGGCCGAAACCACTGGACGGATCGGGCTGAAATTTGGCATGCAGGTAGATGTTATGACGTAGGCATCCGCTAAGAAAGGATTTTGATTAATTCTACCCTCAAGGGGATAAAATAGGGGATGAAAGTTTGTATGAAACTTTGTCAATTTTAAACCGATCGGGCTGAGACTTTGCATGCATAAAGCTACTATGACATAGGCATCCCCTAAGAAAGGATTTTGATAAATTCCACCCTTAAGGGGATAAATTAACGCGAGCGAAACCGCGGCCAAAAGCTAGTTCATCTATATAATTGGAGTATCTGTTTGTAATTTCAATATTATAGCTCTTCAATAAATGCTTATGAAAGTATATGCAGAACTAACATAAAAAACATTTTTTTTGGCTGTCTATCTATTCTTGCTAATTTCTGAAACGGCTGGACCAATTCTGACGAACCTCTCGCTTGCAGACAGATAATTACGAGGAGTAACTTGGCTACTTTTATTTTTTGAATTTTATTTACTTTAATAAAAAAAATCACACGGATATAGTAACAGCTAGTCTATGACATATTTTTTGATTGATTCAAACTATTACACTTATTTTATTTTACAGAGAACAATTGAAAATGACATTTATATGTATGTAACTAAGCCACTTTTTCAACCATATCTAACGTAACTACATAAAATCAATTCCTACATATTTATAAATTATCTCTCAGTGTCCCTTCTTAACAACCTATTTACCCTATAGATCCTGTTCTTGTAATTTTCAATTGGAGCTCGTCGTAAAAACTTCGCTGCGGCGACTCTCGTCATAGCCGCTTTATAACTCTCTGGCGACAAGATGGCGGGAGTCTCGTGTGTATTCAAAATGTCCGCCGGCAAGATGGCGTCGGACAACATGGCGTCGATGTCGCCGGTCAACATGGCGACTGAATCCGGTGACGTGTAGTTGTTAATCGGAGTGCAAAGTGGAATCGCGTTGGACCATTTCCTATTTCTGTAAACAGAAATAATAATTATATATTTATTTAAAACTTTATTGATTTTGGACAATAGGCGGGCTTAATGCTAATAGTATTCTCTACCAGCCAACCAGCCAGCCAATAATTGCTGCTTGTAGGCACTGGTCTGCTATCACTACGACTGATTTAATCTTATTTTATACAAGCTGTACCTGCGACTTCGTCCGCGTGGAATTTAACTTTATTTTTCTAAAGTAGCATAAGTTACTTAGGCTACTTTTATTTTAGAAAAATAAAGTTTAATTCCACGCGGACGAAGTTAATTCTAAATACAAGCCACATAGTTAGAAATTTTAAACTGATTCGGTCGATACTCATAGACAGTAGTTATTGACATAAAAACATAACATTGTTATGTTTAGGACCAATGTACCATATCAGATCGACCTCCATGGAAACCATCGTGCAAAAATGCCTGGGCTCGGCCAGCGAAAGCCGCACATAGCAAAAATGCCGGTGAAAGCCGAAGAGAAAAATAACAGATAAGAAATAATAATAATAATCTCAGGACAATTTACACAGCGCCATCTAGTCCCAAGTTAAGCTAGCTAAAGCTTGTGTTACGGGTACTAGATAACTGATACAAATACATAGATATTTTTTTGTAAATACATACATATTATACATAGAAAACACCCAGACCGATACAAACAATTATACTCATGAAGAAATGTTTGTGCCGTGCGAGGAATCGAACCCACGACCATTGGACGTAAAGCACACCGCTAGACCGCTAGACCACCGAGGTCGTCAGTATACTTACTTCAAACATCTTAGCATAGGCGCGCCCTTCAGCCTATACCCGGGTTCGCAGGTAAATGTGACAGATTCACCGATCTTGTAATAGAATTTCACTGAAGACATCCGCCCGGATATAGTTGTACCCGGATATGTGCACGCCTGAGCACCTGTCAAACGAAGAGAAGTTGTGAATGATCACCAACGTCCTGCAATTTGGGATGATTTAATAATAATCTTAGGACAATTCACACTTTCTTAGCGGATGCCTACGTCATAACATCTACCTGCATGCCAAATTTCAGCCCGATCCGTCCAGTGGTTTGGACTGTGCGTTGATAGATCACTATGTCAGTCACCTTTGAGTTATATATATTTAGATATACTTAAATAGCCTTGGTTTTCCTTTAATAAATAAATAAGTAATAATAATAAAAAGTAAATAAAATGGTCTGTGGTCACGGCACTGACGACGGCAATCTGCCACGGTAGCGCCGGTACACCACACCCTTCGGCCAGTAGTCCTCCCTCATGAAGGTGGGTAGCATATTAGTGACCCGGGCCACGAACAACTTGAAGCTCGCGTTGTGACTCGATTCCGATTTCAGTTGTGTCACCCTCAATGTTAGGTTACTTTTGGTCCGGATATAGTCCACAATACCCAGTTTTAATCTCTTATTTAAAGCATAGGAGTAAATGAGCTTGCGGCTCACCCGATGGTAAGTGATTACTGCCGCCCAATAGCACTCCTAACACAAGGGAAAGGGGGGAAAAGATTGCTAATAATGTGAACTTATTACATTGCTAACAATATCAGGTTGATCTCCACGCGATTCCTCCTTAATAAGGAGTAACTTAGTGTGGGGGTTTAAGCCCACAGTTCCGTGATAATGCTATTGATTGATTGATGAGATGTTTTTGTTAAATAAAACCGCCTCGGTTGAATGCTACTCGAACACTGATTCTTATTACTAAAATAAATATTTGAAATGTATTATGTGTAAAATGAAACTTTTATTTTAGAAAATGAAAATAAAATTCCACGCGGACGAAGTCGCGGGGAAGAGCTAGTAGTAAATATATATAATACTAACAAGTGGGAGGCTTGTCGCTCCACCGGCCGCTGTCCTGGCACACGAGGATTGGTCTGCCGTGCAGCGTGTGCTCAGGGTTGCAGTGGAACTGCAGCACGTCGCCAGCGCGGTACGGGGCTCGACCGAGCACGTAACCTGACGCTGGAGGAGGCAGCGCTGGGCAGGATACCTCTGAAATCATGATATCATCAATCGTTGAGCTGTCTTTAGATGTACGTTCCTTAACGCGTTTAGAAAGAAAGAAAAATATTTTATTCAGTGCAATGTAAAATACAATATAAACAACAAACGAAAAAAAAAGAGCAAATAAAATGTACATATATAATTAAACTTAATTTACCATAATTAAAAATAAACATAAAATAATCATTTTTTACATCCAACAATGCACTGAAATGGCTCCACTCAGCTTTAATGTATGTCCTAGGTGAACATACAGCTGGTTTTCAGTTGCACCAAAAATATATATATAAAAGGGGGGGAGAGAGAGGGCACTATTTAAAATATTAATGATAATAATTAAAACAAAATTACAACTAATAAATACAAACCAATTACATATACTAGAAAGAACAAAGTAGAATAAAATAACATTAATAAATATAAACGTTAAACATATAATATACAACTACTTTGCCGTAAGATTTATAGGTTATATAGTACATAGATAATTCTTGTATAGTTTTTTAAAACTGAATAATGATTAGGTTATTACGCAGGAAAGAAATGTAATGCATGTAAATGCAAAACAAAGCAAACGAGAAACACCGAGCGCGCAACATTTCTGCGTCCTTCAATCATGTGTGCATTAGCATCTTTTTGTAATAATTAATTATCTATGGAGTAAAAACATAATTATAGAATTAAATAATTATGGATAATAAATTTTTCGAGTATCTGAAATACAAATCTGTGAAATAACATGTAAAGTTTAAAAAGAATGTGAAATGTAAAACATGTGTGAAAGAGTGAATAAAAAATAGACATTAAGTGGAATTATTTAGAATTACTGGCTCTGGTGTTCGCGCGTTAAATTGTGCGCGCTTCTGCTACCTTCCGCCACCGTTATATGTACTTCCACAGGATCCACCGGCTCTACTACATGTACCTGTGCAGACTCCCCCGGTGCCCGTCACGTACCTGCGCAGACTGCCCCGGTGTCCGTCACGTACCTGCGCAGACTCCCCCTGTGTCCGTCACGTACTTGCGCAGACTCCCCCGGTGTCCGTCACGTACCTGCGCAGACTCCCCCGGTGTCCGTCACGTACCTGCGCAGACTCCCCCGGTGTCCGTCACGTACCTGCGCAGACTCCCCCTGTGTCCGTCACGTACCTGCGCAGACTCCCCGTGTCCGTCACGTACCTGCGCAGACTCCCCCTGTGTCCGTCACGTACCTGCGCAGACTGGGAAGGGCCTGGCCCAGCGCGCGGCGGGCAGGCAGACGGTCTCCGCGGGCCCGCGCAGCGCCCAGCCGGCCGCGCACGAGAACGCGGCGCGCCCCCCCACCCCGCGCGACACCACCGCCACCCGCGCCCGCCGCTCGCCCGCGCGCAGCGCCCCGTCCTGCACCACGTCGCCGCACTCCACGCCTGGGCGACATAGCCAATATAGTAACAGTGACACATGCGCCGTCTAGATCCGAGATACGCAGAGGTCGGTATGGGCACTACACGAAATAATAAATTCCTCAAATATACCAATAGGTTTTAAGTGACACCGTCCGAGAACGACAGTGAACGCAAGTGAACGAGAGCTGGAATTGGAGTGTGACTATCTCTCTAGTTCCTGCATGTTGCTGATGAAAGACGATGATGGTAAGTTCTCAGATCGAAGTCGCCGCTAGATATCGTCATACCGATGCCAACTCAGAGTCCGGCGGACCAGAATCCCTCGGTAGGCAAGGCAAGGCAAGTCCGGGTACCGGTTCTATGGTGAGGGCAAGTTTTCGAAACCAGTGGCCTCACTGTCGAAAAATAAGCCTGCGATTTCGACGACTGCTGCAGTAACAACTGCAACAATGGAGCTCTCGTCCAGCGAGGAATAATTTCTCGCAATCAACAAAAGATATCGGTGCCCATCGGTTCACCACCATACGAAGACGATCTTCGATATAATGAAGACATCAGAAAACTTCAAGGAGACCTGCATAACATCTATGAAGATTAACCGGGCTGGCAACCAACGCTAGGTTGACGCCCTAAAAGGAGAGTTTGATACCGAGTTCCTGGTGGAAAACATCCGGCTCAACCAGGGAGATGGAATTTTTATTGGCGGGAAGTTACATACAAGATGCATGCTGCGAAGGAGCCCAAAGCTGTTACGGTTGCGGACACGTTTACCGTTTACCGTTTGCGGAAACGTATCCAGAATAGGGGCACGCTGGCTCCGTGTCTCAACTCACTTAACTCAACTTATTTCCGAAATTCTTTTTATATACATGATAATAATTAAAATGATATTTAAAAGCAATTTACAATTGTAAAATAATTAAATTAAATTTACTTCCCTTACAATTATAGGATCGAAGCAGTGTTAGACGTCGAGCTTCTCGTACTCAGCGGCGAGGATATGTCAAGTAATAAATTGGAGATGCACTCACTCTCGCAGACGGGCAGGGGCGCGCTCCAGTTGCCGGAGGCGCGGCAGGTGAGGACGTGGGCCCCGAGCAGCGCGTTCCCGTTGGCGCACGAGAACGACACCTCGGTCCCCAGCCGCGTGCCCGCCCCGCTCGACACCAGCCCGCGCCGCAGCGGCAGCGGCGGGCAGTGCACGTCTACGGCACAACACGCCACACTAGTACAGCCGACTATGTAACAGGTCTCTAAGGTCCACTAATTAATAATAATAATAATAAGTGCTTCTGCCGGGGGTACGTTGCCATCTCCTCTCCTTAAGAGGGGAGATGAGAATTTTTGGATAATAATAATAATCTCAGGACAATTCACACAGCGCCATCTAGACCCAAGTTAAGCTAGCTAAAGCTTGTGATGGGTAACAACTGATACAAATACATGATATATTTTTTTTTTCGTAAATACCTACATATTATATATAAAAATACCCAGACCGATACAAACAATATAACATGATTAATGTTTGTGCCGTGCGAGGAATGAGTGGTGTGCTAGACGCTAGCGGTCGTCATTATGATGACAAACCCCAAGTAGCGCCCGTGACTTGTGACACGGGTGTAGGTTTAAAATGCCCTTTTAGGATGCATTAACACTCACCTTCACTACTTACAGCTTCCCCCGGGTCCAACTAAGTCTGAGATACACTCATTTTGTATTAAAAATGAGTTTAGTACAAAATACAACTGGCACGCTCTGCGCTCGTCGGCTGAATGCCGCGGGTCGCCCAACGAAAGAGGATTATTCAACCTTCTCACCGTTCGCTATCGACAGGGAATTCATCCCCACACGATAGAACCTAAGTGGTTTCCCGTGGCTCACCCAACGAAAGAGGATTATTCAACCTTCTCACCGTTCGCTATCGACAGGGAATTCATCCCCACACGATAGAACCTAAGTGGTTTCCCGTGGCTCACCCAACGAAAGAGGATTATTCAACCTTCTCACCGTTCGCTATCGACAGGGAATTCATCCCCACAAAAATGGGTTTAGCTCACCCAACGAAAGAGGATTATTCAACCTTCTCACCATTTGCTATCGATAGGGAATTCATCCCCACACGCTACAACCTAAGTGGTTTCCCGTGGCTCACCCAACGAAAGAGGATTATTCAACCTTCTCACCGTTCGCTATCGACAGGGAATTCATCCCCACACGCTACAACCTAAGTGGTTTCGGACAGTGCGGTATCGGAGGAGCTTCATTGAATGAACTACCTGCCGAAGTTTTCTCATGACACTACTTTTATTTTTATTTTTAAATACAATTTTCCACAGACATATCCGTCTGTGCCTTTTTTAATTTACTTTAATATTATTATATTTATTTAATTTCCACTTTTGTACAACTCCAGCCGAGATGTTACAATTTGCCTAACAGTGGCATCGAGGCAGACCTTATCCGTCTGGCCCAGAACCACCGCTGGCATGACACTACTGCAAGGGGTTTTTTCAAGAAGGGTACATTAAGGTTTCTTATGGGTTGGCAACGCCCACGTAACACCTGGTGTCAAGAAGCGCCTCAATTTTTTATTTCTTATTTATAGTAATATCTGCCGCTTCCTTTGTGGCGACATCCTTTTGACACATTTGTTTTCTTTTTAATTATCCTGTTGTTAGGGAAACTACTCTGCTACCAAAATGTTAGGGAATTTACTCTCTGTATATATTCTTCAGGGTCTCGAAGGTATCTTCGCTAGCTTTCCAGTTTCACAGTAGGTTTCACAGTAGGTTTAACACAGTTCTAATTTATTTTAATTCACAACACAATGCGCGCGCGTCATGGCCGCTGTACAGTCGGTTCAGTACTAGGTGAGGGAGGGGAAGGCAAAGCGCGGGAACACAAACTAACAGACTCTAATATAATAATCTGTGCTTACGATGATACCGGGTATTTGGGGGATTTTGAACACCTGTACATGTGTTCCATTGTATTTTTTTATGCCTGAAACGAAAATAGATGACTCAACTTAAATTCTTCCCTCACCTTCCACAATGACCTCGACCTGGTGAGTCTGGCGGGCCGGAGTTTCGCAGCGGTACACTCCAGAGTCCTCCTTGACGGCGCCCATAATGCTGAGTCGGTACTCCAGCTGGCTGTCGCGGCCGGGGTCCGTGGTCCAGCCCTCTGGGTACTTACGGTCCACACTGTCAACCAATTTTGGACATATATCCACACTAAGGTTGTCTTATATCAGCAACAGCTTATTGCCAACTTCCATGTTATTATTTATTTCTTGTTTTGTGTCTTATTGTAAATTTATATATAAATAATTATCTATCTATCTATCTATTTATATATAAATAATTATCTTTGACAATTCACACAGTGCCATCTAGTCCCAAGCTAAGCAGAGCTTGTGTTATGGGTACTAGACAATTGGTATAAATACTTAGATATACTTTTATTATTGTATTTTTTAGCAACTATAGAACTTTTGATGAAACTCTACAGTAATATAGCTTATACATCGGAATAATATACAGCTTATAAATTTAACGCGGGTGAAATGCGGACACTGATAGGTATTCATAAAACAAAACATTACATACTCAGGATAATGATGGGTGACGTTCCACTTGGGGTTGCCGAATCTCCTCATCCAGAGGCACTCCATGTGCAGCACAGTTCCTGGATACACGAGCAGCTTGCCGTCGTTGGTCTGCGCGATCGGACCCTGGGAGTGTCTGAACAGGATCGTAGGAGGCTTCTCCACTGTAACCAAGTTGGGAATAGGCAATAAAAAATTACAACTAAATAAGGTCCTTTTTGTTGGTCAGGAAAAATTACAATTTATTTGGTCGCCGAAGAGTCAACACTAGGCTTCTAAGCTACATCCGAACTCTATTCACTACTTGATGATGCCTCGTTCACAGGGGCGGATCTACCTAAGGGGTTTTTGGGTGCAGCCCAGGTCCCCGAAGATACAAAGGGCCCCAGTCCCCACTGAAACGATATTTAGTATATAAACAAAATATCTAGAATGTTAAAAAACCTATCATAAGGTTGGCAACCCTGAGATCAATCAACCCATGCAAGTGCGCGTCTATAGAAAGGAACGGGGAGTTTCTGGTCGCTTGTTTTTGGTCGGTGTATTTTTTTAGTTGAGTATTATAATTAGGTAGGCCCCTAAGTAGATTTAGCCCAGGGCCCCACAATATCACGATCCGCCCTGCTCGTTCAGAGGTAAGGTGAAACACGTGTCGCAATATGGGTGTAGACTCAATAACGGTCGGGGGGGGGGGGATTGTTAATAATGGGGACTAATGACCCCATTGCTAGCAATGTACCATGATCGACCTCCACGCGGTTCCCCCTGGAAACCATCGTGATAAATTCCCGGTGAATTTGTCACGTTGGGCCAACTTATCTGACTTCATGTTCATCCTATCATCCTTCACTGGTGCCCCGCCAGCGTAAACCGTTAGCGCAGGCGGGTGCACCATTCCATTATCAACCTTTAAAAAAAAAAACGGTCCGGGTTTGATCGCCAATAGAGAAGGTCGTAACGGTAGTCAAGTTTCCACATCGAATATTTGTGGTCTCATAAATGCTAATTGTAGCGGAATTCAACAAAATAATAAAAATCTATCGAGTAGTGAAATGGACTTTCACGAAATAACACCTAATATGATTAAATTAATAAAAAAATACACATACACTTACATTCGTTCATTTCGTCAATTGTTTCATTCATTCGTTTCATTCATTCATTTCATTCATTAGTTTCTTTCATTTATTTAATTCTTTTATTTAATTCATATATACCCTATACCCTTTTAGAAGAATATAGAATATATAGGTTTTTTAGGGTTCGGCAATGCGCACGTGACACCCCTGGTATTTCTGGCGTCCATAGGCGACGGTAACCGTTTACCACATGTAGAAGTCTCGTCAAAATAGGTCTAACCACTTTAGAGATTAACAAGAACAAACAGACAAGATTTTTTTTTAAATAGTTGGCATTGAGTGAAAAGCTGTTAATTTGAAATTACAAATGTAGTATGATATGTATGTATGATAGTTTACAAACAAAAAAGTCGCATCGAAAATCTGTTTAGCAGATATGTTGCCAATGAAAGTTTGTATCCACATATCTGCTTCTTCCTTATCCCATTTATTTGTGGTCGTCGTAATATTTTTCTCTTCCATTCATCCCTGTTCGCATTCATCCCGTTATTGTTTTATATTAGCATATATTATTTAGAATTAGGAAAACCACCGAAATAACTGAAAGATAATAAGAAATTGCACTTATTAACTCGTAGATTGAGAAGGGTGTGTGATGTGCATGTACTCACACACAAGTGACATTCCAACGCCTGCTCGCTTCCTATCAGCAAACTTCATACGACAAGAGCCAGCAGGCGTAAAAACAACTCTCGTATGTGGGGCCCTGCACATCACTTCCTCCAACCTTGTACATATACATTACACTTATTTTCTCCCTTTCTTACCATATCAACTTTAACACAGTCCATCCATCTGTTTTTCGGTCTTCCTCTGCCTTCAAAGATTGTATCTACACCATTGGAATTACTTTAATAAAGTAGTGCAGTGCCATCTGTTGTTGAGTAGCAACAATTAAAGTACTACAAAAGTCTACTAGATGGCGCTTATAATAAATATTATTTTTAACTGTTGTACTCCTTGTAAATACTTACTGGCGTAATCATTTTCCTGGTTGAGACCAAAACAAGTGGGTTTAACTCCGTCCCAAGCACCGCCCAAACATCTGCGAGCTTGGGAGCCGGTCATCGCGTACTTCCCGACGTCGCTACATCTGAAATCAATTTTTGTATATATTTTTATTGCAACCTAAAAGAGAAATAGAACTAAACATATCGTATTACAAGATGTGACCGCGACTTCGTCCGCGTAAATAGTCGACACTTCCATATAACCTCCCCTTTCAACCCCTTACAACCCTTTTCGGATTAAACACCAGCCTATATCCTTTCTCAGGTTCTAGATTATCTGTATACTAAATTCCAATAAAATTTCGTCTGCATATCATTTCCCCAACTTTTACAATATTTTTCATTGCAGCTATTGGTCGTAGCGTAATGTTCTATAGCTTAAAGCCTTCCTCGACAAATGGACTATCCAACACAAAAATAATTTTTTAATTCGAAGCAGTAGTTCCTGAGATTAGCGCGTTCAAACAAACAAACTCTTCAGCTTTGTAATATTAGTATAGATTTACACAGTTATGTTCAACTTAACTATGTAACACAAAAATTGGAATAAAATTATTATAATTATATTAATTAAGTATAACATCAATAATGAAATAAATTAATTAAAGACCTTATATATAGTGGCTTATATAAAAGAGCAACACACAAGTTTCTCGCTCATTCTTCTTGTGATGAGTCTGCGTTCCGAATGAGCGGTAAAATAAAAATGTGACTATTCAAAAGTGCTTATATTAAGTTTATTTGAATGAAGATTATTTCTATTTCTATTACCTAGATATAATTACAGCTCCGGCTGAAAAGTCGACAGTTTCAGTGATTTCCAGATCGTTGTAGAAGGACACCACGTGTGGTTCCTCGTTGCGGAACGTGCAGCTGTTATTATTGAGTAATTCTTCACTTTGTGCTTCTAATTCTTCTGTAATATTTAAATAAAGATTAATATATACATATAAATAAAATTGGAGTGTCTGTTTGTAATATTGAAATAACCGTTTTTTACTACATGCATATGAATATAAATACGGTACATAGACCAAAATAAGATTTTTTACAATTTTTGTCGGTCTGTCTGTCGGTCTGTCTGTTCCGGCTAACCTCTGAAACGGCTGGACCGATTTTGACGTGACTTTTTTTGGCAGGTAGCTGATGTAATAGGGAGTAACTTAGGCTAATTTTATTTTAGAAAAAATCTTTTATTTTAGAAAAATGAAGTTTAATTCCATGCGGACGAAGTCGCGGCAACAGCTAATTATTAAATATTTATTCACGACTTTAATGCCAAAGTGGGGTAGTCAGAGGTATTGATAATACTTGACTTGTGCCATGTGTTTGTATGTCCTCTAAAACAGTATTAATTACAGTGATTACAACGCCACCTAGTTTGATACAAAATATAAGTTACCTACGTACTGTCTTTAAATATTTTATGTACAGTCCAGTTGGATTTAAACTCTCAAAGTGTGAAGTACCTAAATGTAAGTGAAAGAAGAAATAATGGGTACTAGACAAATGATATAAATACTTAGATATTTTTTTGTAAATCTAAATATATATAACTCAAAGGTGACTGACTGAGATAGTGATCTATCAACGCACAGCACACACCACTGGACGGATCGGGCTGAAATTTCGCATGCAAGTAGATGTTACGACGTAGGCATCCGTTAAGAATAGATTTTGATAAATTCCACCCCTAAGGGGTTAAATTTGGGGATGAAAGTTTGTATAAATCTTTTTAGATTTTCGACTGATTGAACTGAAATTAAAGATTAGAGCTACTATGATGAGGACGTTCGCTTAAATAGGATTTTGATAAATACAACCCCCATGGGGATAAAATAAGTAATGTATTAGTACCTAATAGAACGAATATATTAAGACGAACAAAATAATTTTTAGTTCTAAATGTTGACAATAGAATATTGTATTATATTACACACGCTAAACAAAAGTAAAGCCGCAAAAACTATACCTAATTAATAATAATGCTTCTTAACGCGAGCGAAGCCGCGGGCAAAATCTAGTTGTGTATATATATTTATTGGTAAACCTTCATTTGTTTGTTTGTTATTGTGTTGTATGTAACGTACGTGTGTTGTAATAAATTTGTTCTATTTTAAACAACTTACCACAGTTGAAGCTCTTCCCGACCCAGTTTCCTTGTTCGCAAATGAGTTTCCACGTGGTTTTCTCACCCATTATAGAGGCGATGCATCGAAACGTGATCTCTGTACCATGCGGATACCCTTCCACAACAACCGTCCCGTTCACCTCTGTACCATCGCGGTATATCAGAGTACCCTGTACCCTATGAAAGATTAAGTACCCAATTACTAACTCATACGTTCAAGTTGTATGGGGTTTTAAAAAAATCCCTTGAATTTGGATCAAAATATACCATTTGTACTAGATTTGTGTAATGGTATATTTATAACGATATATACCACTAAATAATAGTAGTTTGAAGCGTGTATATTCAGTTATAGTGTAAGAGGTTTAATCAGATAGAGCGTCGTTTTTATTGGAGAGTTTTAAGCTATTCAAAATTCAAAAATCATTTATAAACGTTAAGTTTTTACATTATAATTTTTGTTTTTCCCTATCATCCAGTTCGGTATATAGATCCAATTGAGAACTGGCAAGAAACTCAATTGAATTACTTTTTTTTTTAAAGACAGTTTATTTACAATGTATATTTATATAGGTGTCTATGTCTAACATTAAATGAAAATCCCGTTCATGAACAACTATTGCCATGCACGCTCGTCATTCAAGTAATCGTTTAGTGAGTAACTTGCTCAGTAAATATGATTTAACAGTTGTTTTGAATTTATTTAAGGGTAATTCCAATATATCTATGGTATTTTATTGTAAATTTTTACACCTATTCCCATAAAAGACCTATTGACTTTTTCGAAACGATACTTGAGGACACCAAGTCTTTCAGGTGCTGTGACACTGCGACCTGCATATATTTGTTGTGCTCATCCTTTTTCAAAGTTGGCTATCTAGGCACGTCAAGGAAAAGATTTAAGGATATTCTTAGGAGCGATTGTTTTTATCTCCTCAAGGTAGAGTGTATACTTTCCAAAGGAGATATTTCGTTTATGTATGAGTGGGCTACAACCACATAGGATGTGTAGTGGCGTTTCCTCTTCTGCTTGGCAAAATTTATAGATTGTTAAGGTGAGGAATAATTTTGCCATGTGTTTTCATTCAATTTACAACGTCCAGTGAGGGCCCTAGTCATATATTGTTTTCACTCAATTGCGGAAAGGGTATATTAAGCGCGAGGTTATCCTAGTAAAGAAAAACTTTTATTCTAGAATGTTCTGTGAAAGTTGGCCTATAAGAATATAAATAACAAACACGGCCCTAAAATCAGTCGATCTATTTTAGGGTCAAAAACTTCACTGGTCACAAACACGTAAGATGTACTCCATTATCTGCAATCAGCCCCTCATTCGGGCCGTTGTACGTGTAGAACCGAAACTACTAGAGTAGCCAGCCAAGCTCCTTGGTCACAGATGGCCAAAATTAATTTAAAATATCAAAGTATATATTTTGAATAACAAAAACGATCTTCTTGCATCAATTTAGTTTTATCTGGTTCATCTGCTTCTTCCTTATCCCATTTATTTGGCGTAATATGTATTTCTCTTCCATTCATCTCTGTTCGCAGTCATCTCGTTATTCACTTCTTTTCTTACTATATCATCTTTCACACAGTCCATCCTATTTCCTCGTTTTGGTGCCACTGAAAACCAGCTCATATTTATTTATTTATTTATATTTACATTTATTACATCACACATCTCAACACAATAAAAACGATGCCGACAGCTGCATATAAATTATTATATAAGATAAACGTAAATAAAAACAATTCATTAAATTAGAGATGAAATCATTATATAAATATTCACCTAGCTCCACTCAGCTTTAATGTATGTCATTAAAGCTGAGTGGAGCCCTTTCTGTGCATATATGGATGTAAAAAATGATTATTTTATGTTTATTTTTAATTATCTACACGATAAATTAAGTTTAATTATATGTACATTTTATTTGATATTTTATTTTCGTTTCTTGTTTATATTGTATTTTTTTACATTGCACAGATTAAAATATTTTCTATCTTCTCTTCATCCATCTCTTTTTCGGCCTCTGTCCTTATATCCATCCACATTTATATTAGTCTTATCTGATTATTAGGTATATATTATTGTGCTAGCGACTTAGGACATTCTTTCCGACTAAATGTGTAAATACATTCTTAAAACTCGTTATTATTTAGTGGTATATCAGAATTATTGCAGTTATTTAAATATATAATAAGGTTTAAACCTCTAACATCCCGGGAGAGCGAGTAAAATATTAAAATGTTAAAATGTTTCAAAGAACCTAATATGTTTGCAATATAGATAAATATAAAAAACATCATGCACTATACGTTGAACATATAAAGAATAATTGAGCAACTAAAACCAAGCTCGGCCAAGACATACAAAGCCGTAACAATGGCCATACAAACAGCTATTCCATACATACATAAAAATATTTCATTTGTACCTGAACAATCTAAGCCCTGCCTTCTGAGGATTTGATTTGATTCCTATAAAACCTTTGATGGCAATGAAAAAGACGCTGATTCTTTTAAAAGTAACAAGATAGGAAAAACTGATCGAGACTTTTTTAATACATGTGCAGTATTAGATCATGATGATGGGTCTATCTGAGATGTAGATGATGAGATATTTAATAATGATGATGACATAGATGATGGAGAGTTTAAAGAAGCAAAAGTCCGAACCTAGAAGGCTCTCACCAGGGCTTGGCATCCCTGAACGCCTGTGTTCCTTTCAGTCTATCCAGCCAGCAAATAAGAAACGCAGACTTTGCAAAAACATTATTTTTTCGTTATCTTTCTCATCCACTAACGGATGATACTGCGATGTTAAATTTTAAACAAGTTGCACTCAATAATTTCAATAATGTAATTTATTTAAAATTAAATAAAAACGACTATTGGGTTCAACTTGTTGCAATTACTGCTTAATCACGAGACAATAGCAAAAGAAATGTAAATAAACAATAATTGAATGCGTCAAAGCACATAGGTTGTTAGTGACTTTTCTAGTGTTAAATTTGGAAAACATATTAAACCAAATGTTGTGGAAAAATTAAATATTGACCAGATAATACCAGAAAAGTAGGACCTTTTATATAAATATATATACATGGTGTAATATATATCTCTGAATGAGATGTCAGTATATATGAAGGTATACAATAAAACACACAAGCTACAGTGAAAGCATATTGTATAACCGATCAAATAATATACAGGCAATTGGACCAATATTTAAACATATTGAACCAATGTTTGTACTTTAAAGTACTACCAAGCCTATCCATTTTATGTCAAGAGCTGTAAATGTTGATGTAGGACTTTATTCGGCTTTAGACTTACATCTACATCTTTCAGAACAATGTCTTTTAAGTTATCTTCAAATATATTATCTTCTGTTCTTCTATCTACAACTATTGCAATATTATAAGATTTTTACCGTGCTGGAGGACCGCAATCTGTGATAGTCTTGTCATCAATGTCAGGTTCCAATTCAGATATATCTTCCCGCACGATGTCAGAGCCACTTTGAAATTCGGATGTTGGTCGAGGTCGTGAAAGGTTTGCTGAAATTAACGATTTTAGATGTTCATCAGTTTTGGAATCTAATAGAGGAAACATCGATGATTAAATGCCAAAGAGCCACATGACGCTCATCAAAATTTTCACTGTGATATTTTTACTTTTTTTACGAACCTATAAGTGGTGAATCTATGTGTCAGCTCTAAAATCAAGGGTGTCTTTTTTTAATATAAAAATCGTAACATTTTAGATACCATCTTTGAAAAAAAAAAAGTTTCAGATTTTTTGAGTTGTGGCCCTTTAGCATTTAATCAGCGACATTTTGTTGGACTTGTAATTTTGTTCATAGTTTGGTACTGATAATTTAATAACTAGGAATTTTGTTCGTAGGAGGCGGGACTCAATGTAATAATAAGAAGATGCTGCTAAAATGGCTATTGCTCAATGATTATATATAAGAATTTTAGTAATTATATTACATGTAGCTTATACATTAGGTTTTAGGTTTTAGATACTTATTCTCATTAAAAATTGCAAATAATTCACTTAACATGAGAACTAAAAGCATAAACTTATACAAAATTAAATATTAGTGGAAATATACAAGAACGTTGCATATAATGCAGACGGTGTAGTAACAAAATCTAAACAGCAACTACCCGCATAAATTATAACATTATATTGGTTGGCTTCATCATCATCATCATCATCGCAACCCGGAAGACGTCCACTGCTGGACATAGGCCTTCCCCAAAGATCTCCACGACGATCGGTCCTGCGCTGCTCGCATCCAATGCCTTCCAGCGATCTTGACCAGATCGTCGATCAACCTTACTGGAGGCCTTCCCACGCTGCGTCTTCCGGTCCGTGGTCGCCACTCGAGGACTTTACTGCCCCAACGGCCATCTGTCTGTTTATTAGTCGGCTTACCGAGCATAGATGGCCTCAGTGGTACTGGGTTTGTATGTACACAGATGTACCATGCTAGATATGGCATATTTGTGGATTTTTTTTTGTTTTTTTTAGTCATTTTTTTATATACATATAACTATGAACAAATTTCAAATTGTTGTGTCATAGATTTAATAGATTTTTTTTAAAACGCATGCTGAATGCTCTGCTGGCTGGTGATGGACGAAGTGAAGACCTTTTCGGACCATGGCTCCATATAGTTGGACATTCACCTATGCGAACGTCCGGAGAGACACATATTTCAAAATTTCACGATTCGAAATTCTACCCGTCCGGAGTTCCGCGACCTTCGACGTTCCTCACATGGGCACTGTAACGTCTCAATAAAGATTCCCTTGACATGCATTAAGAAATAGTAACAAACCTAAAGGTCTGCAGAAGTCATGGACGGTGGGCTGCAGCCGCCCCAGATGGCAGTTGAGCGTGGCGGGCGGCGCCCGGCCGGCCTCACACGCGATGTCGATGGAGGACGCGTGCGCCACGGTCAGCCCCGCACGGTACCCCGCCTCGTACGACGCGCCGTGCAGCAGTGGCAGCTCGCACGGGGCTGCATCCACACATACAAATACTAATTCAAAATATATTCATTCATGTAGCTCTATTACAGACTCTTATGATATGTCAAATCTATCGTCAGTTCAGACTGATTTCGAGCTAAGAACTGACAAGAAACTCAGCTCGTATTAATTTCAAATAAGATTCTAAAATGTAAGTCTATTACAGACTGTTATGATATGTCAAATCTACCGGCAGTTCGGAATGATTTCGAGATGAGAAGAACCGACAAGAAACTCAATTAGTTTTTTTTTCAAATTAGTTTATATATGTTTACAATATTCACATGTAATTACCACTAGCTATGCTCGCGAATTAGTCCGCGTGGAATTTAACTTTTTCTAAAATAAAAGTAGCCTATGTTACTCCTTATTACATCAGCTATCTGCCAATAAAACTCCTGCCAAAATTGGTTCAGCCATTTCAGAGATTAGCCGGAACAAACAGACAGACAGACTAAAACGGTTATTTCAATATTACAAACCGACACTACGATATTATTTATATGTATAGGCTACAGACCCGGCCACACGTCGATGTGGCTAAGGTTCTTGAATAAAATAATATTGCGACTATAAATTGAGATGTAAGCTATCCTATATTTCAAGTTGAATCAAATTGCACACAATGTGCAAATCAAATTTGCATTCGGTTCAGTAGTTTAGGAGTCCATCGCGGACAAACAACGTGACATGTAATTTTTATATATAAAGATTACCTGCCACACATTCAGGCATGCTGGTCACCGCCCACTCCCCGAGCCAACAACGAAGGTTAGTTGGTCCTTGCACGTTATAACTGAAAAAAAAAACACGTATGTATAACTAATACATTTATAGAATTTACTACACACTAATACAACTTTACTTTTCTAAAATAAAAGTAGCTTAAGTTACTCCTTATTACATCAGTTACCTGCCAAAAAAAAGTCTCGTCAAAATCGGTCTAGCCATTTCAGAGATTAGCCGGAACAAACAGACAGACAGATAGACAAACAAAAATTGTAAAACATGTACTGTCTGTGCAATCACCAATTTTATTTATATATATAGATTATTTGCCAACTGTCCCCGCGATTTCACCAAATTTATAGCCTACTAGCTTTTACCCGCGCCTTCGCTCGCATTGAATGAAAAATATTTGTTTTTTTAAATAAAAAGTATCCTAAGTTCATTCTAATACCTTCAATAACATGTGTATAAAAGTTTATGATGATCGGTTCAGTAGTTTTTGCGTGAAAGTGTAACAAACATCAACCGACTTTCAAAAGACGTTTGTTTGTATTGGTCTGGGTGTTTTTTATGTATATTATGTATGTATTTAAAAAAAAATAATATCTAGATATTTATATCAGTTGTCTAGTACCCATAACATAAGCTCTGCTTATGGAATTAAATGAGGTTGTGCGAATTGTCCGGTAGATTAAAAAAATATATGATTAACTAGCTTTTGCCCGCGGCTTCGCTCGCGTTAATTTATCCCTTTAGGGGTGGAATTTATCAAAATCCTTTCTCAGGGGATGGCTACGTCATAGTAGCTTTATACATGCAAAGTCTCAGCCCGATCGGTTTAAAATTGACGAAGTTTCATACAAACTTTCATCCCCTATTTTATCCCCTTGGGGGTAGAATTAATCAAAATCCTTTTTCAGCGGATGCCTACGTCATAACATCTACCTGCATGCCAAATTTCAGCCCGATCCCTCCAGTGGTTTGGTCTGTGCGTTGATAGATCACTATGTCAGTCACCTTTGAGTTATATATATTTAGATTTATATATATATTTATGTAATGTATGTATATTATTATACATATTTTTTATCGAAATTTATATTTTTTATATTTTGGTTTATATTTATATATCTTTTTTTACATTTCTCATTTATATTAGTGCACCGCCAACAATCTTTCTCTGCACCACTCATAGTTGCCTGGTAGATAACGCCGCAAAGTATTAAGTCCAAATCTATCAGATCACTATGTCAGTCACGTTTGAGTTATATATATTTAGATATAATTTTGTTACTCACCCATACTCACAAGAGAAATGTATGACCTGTCCATTGGGTACAGCATCTGTCTCATTCAATTCCTTCTCCTCCCCAGTCCCGAGGCCCGAGCCCAGCACTTGGCTGGCAGTCAAGGGCCCAGATTCTGTAGGCATGGTGTAAATACCATACTCCGTGGAGGGCACATGGCAGGGCACTGCAAAGAGAGTTCAGTTTTTCCATATATTATATCATCTATACATCTATACATATAAATAAAATTGCAGTGTCTGTTTGTAATATTGAAATAACCGTTTTTTACTACATGCATACGAATATAAACAAGGAATATACACCAGAAAACCACTTTTTAAAATTTTTGTCTGTCTGTCTGTCGTTCTGTTTGGCCCGGCTAATCTCTGAAACGGCTGAACCGATTTTAACGGGACTTTTTTTTGGTAGGTAGCTGATGTAATAGGGAGTAACTTACGCTACTTTTATTTTAGAAACATTATTTTATTTTAGAAAAATAAAGTATAATTCCACGCGGACGAAGTCGCGGGTACAGCTAGTATATATATATATATATATATAAGTCCATTCTACTTCATGGATTTATATTATGGCAAGTCCATTTCACTATCTCTCAAAGGGTATCGAATACCAATCACTTAGCTTGAGGCGAGACTTATACAAAACTGAAAATTGAAAAATCATTTATTCCTGCAGGACATTTTAGCAGCTTATGAACGTCAAATTATTTATATTGTAATTTTTTCCCTACCGTCCAGTTCGGTATATAGATCCAATTGAGAAGAACTGACAAGAAACTCAATTGAAATACTTTTTTTTTAAAAGCCAGTTTATTTTAATGTATATTTATATACGTGTCTATGTCTAATATTTAATGAAAATCCCGTACATGAACAACTATTGCCATGCACGCTCCTCATTCAAGTAATCGTTTAGTGAGTAATAGGCTTTGCTCACTAAATATGATTTAACTAATGTTTCGAATTTATTTAAGGGTAATTTCAGTATATCCTTTGGTATCTTAATGTAAGTTTTTATACCTATTCCCATAAAAGACCTATTGATTTTTCTAAACGACACTTGGGGACAGCAAGTTTGTCTTTAAATCTAGTATTAATATTATGAATATTGCTGTTTTTCTTCGTATCGCTTTCTGTGTTCTATCGAATATACGACAGACTGTGTTCTGAAGAATTGTTTGATATGTTGCCTATGGCTACCTTTTACCATCGCACCGCTCGCCATCGACAGGGAATTCATCACACGCTGGAACCTAAGTGGTCTCGGACAGTGCAGTTTCAGACGAGCTTCCTCCCGCGTACACTTAGTTTCCGGAATGAACTGCCTGCCGAGTTTTCTTTATGAGACTACAGCAATGGTTTTTCAAGAAGGATATATTAAGGGTCGGCAACGAGCAAGTGCCCCTGGTGTTTCAGGCGTCCATAGGCTACGGTAACCGTTTACCATCAGATGGGCCGTAAGCTTGTTTGCCATCATAGTATAAAAAAAAAGTTTACGCATTACATGGTCATACCATACCAGTGCTTTTATATGACACTAGTTTTTGCTCGCGGCTTCGCTAGCAGTAATTTATCCCTTTAGGGGTGAAATTTATCAAAATTCTTTCTTAGGGGATGGCTATGTCATAGTAGCTTTATGCAAGCAAAGTCTCAGCCCGATCGGTTTAAAATTGACGAAGTTTCATACAAACTTTCATCCCCTATTTTATCCCCTTGGGGGTAGAATTAATCAAAAGCCTTTTTTAGTGGATGCCTACGTCATAACATCTACCTGCATGCCAAATTTCAGCCCCATCCGTCCAGTGGTTTGGGTTGTGCGTTGATAGATCACTATGTCAGTTACCTTTGAGTCATATATATTTAGATTATTCAAAATATTTTTGCAAAAATTTCTTAGCACTAAAACGATTAGGACGAAGAAGCTATTTTCTGTATTGATATCTTATAATTTTGTTTTAATACTCTAAAGAGATCTTTTAAAATACCTGCCTTTACGATTATATAAAAAAACTTTGATGTTATTTTTAATTTGGTAGAGATACTTACGTATTTCGCATTTCGGTTTCTCCGGCTTCCACCTGCCTCGCACACACTTGGCTGTCGCGTTGTTTTCCAAATTCAATCCATAGCCCTTACCGCACGCAACTCGTACTATTGTACCTGATATTAAAACAGTTATATTTCAACACATTTGCTCGCAAAGTCGATTTACTTCACCGGTTTTCGATATATAAAGCATCTCATAAAATAAACGTGCGTTGTAAACGCAAATAGTGAAGTTACATTCCAGAACCGCAATATTTCCTATTTCTTTTTTATCAAATTTCGAACTGAGCACAGCGCGGCGCCAGCCAGTAAATTGATTTCAAAAAGTAAAACAGCGAGAAAGCAACAGTGTAGAATTTTTACAAACTTTGACTACCGTATTTATTTATATTTAATCAACAGCCTCAAAAATAAGTTTCAAACTTCTAGTTTTAAAAATGACGACATTTCAATATAACATTGCATCACCCCTTTCAACCCTTTACAACCCTCTTTTCTCATTGAAATGTAGCCTATGTCATTTCTCAGGATCTAGACTACTTGTGTACCAAATTTAATTTAAATCGGTTTAGTAGTTTTGGCGTAAAAGCGAGACAGACATACGGACAGACAGACAGAGTTACTTTCGCTTTTATAATATTGATAAGGATTACTAGCTATTACCCGCTATTGTTGTCCACGTGAGATGCAGCTTTTTGTCACTAATATAAATAAGATTTCTAAGCTAATAGCCTAAGTTAGTCCTTATAAGTTTCTGCGAGTGAAAGTTCCGTTAAAATCACCACAGCCTTGTCAGAGATTATTAAGAACAAACGGACAGATAGACAAAAAACATTTTCTTTTATGTAAGGACCGCATATACTGTCAAAGGAATTTAGTGAAAAGCTGTTGATTTTAAATTACAAACTAAACTAAACTTCAACTTTATTTATTTGTACACATTCAAAAATATCCTTACCAGAGCTAAACGTATTGTTTGGGTCCCGGCCGTATTTGACTATTTCTATATTGACATACGGTTCACTTTCTATTGCTTCGCAAGGACTTTTTGGACGACCATTCGACTTTTTGGATACCTTCGCTTTTTCTGTTTGGTTGAGATCTGTTTTATTTGTTCCTTCTGCTGCTTCTTTTACTTCTGCACTTTGATTCTCTTCACTGCTGGCTTCTGCTTGAAGATTACGTCTGCCACCTTTTCCTTCTCTGCCTCTGTAAGGAAATTAGAAGCGGGGTTGTGAACTAATTCGTGTTGTAAATTTGAAGGTAGTAGCAGTTTTGATTTTGTGTTTTTATTACCCACTCATCACCATCTATGCCACTGTTCTGAGTTGACTGTAAGAGATCTCTTCTAGGGACAAGTCTAGCTTTGCTCACATTGTCTCTAAATTATTACAGATTATCTACTTATCAATTTCTTACTATATTATCTGTGCAATTAAAAATATCTTTAAGTTTATTTTTGATCAATTCATTCATAATGAATTTATTAGTTTCAATTTTTATTACTTAATAAATTTATACTATTTTTCTTACTGCAACTCGTCGAACAGTCAATCCTAGGCTTCCATTTCTACCAGCCAAGCTATATCCAAACTTTATAATAGCTTTTTCAGAGGCAAAATAAGTGTCGCAATATGGATGTAGATTCAATAACAGTCGGAATTTGATCACCAATAGAGAAGATAGTAACGCTTCCAGTAGCGTTGATAAGGTTTCTACACTGAACATTTGTTTTCTAATACATGCTAATTGTTGCGGAATTAAACAATATAATATAAATGCATTAAGTTATGAAATGGACTTTCGAAAAAAATATATTTTATTTTGCAATATTTCTAAAGTTATTTTAGCATTATTAATATTTATTTTATATAAATATTCAAAACTAATCAAAGAACATATAGGTTTATATAAGTCTTATTAGGTTTTTATATTCTACTTACGTTTTTGGTACTGTTGCTGTAGTTTGATTCAGTCTATCCGTTTTTCTACTCGTTCTCTTTTCTCGTCTATCAATAATATTGTCTACTTCAGTAGAATTAGTATTATTATACTGTAATGGAATAACTGCTATATCCTCGCCGTATACTTTTACGGTATCATTTTGTGTTTGAGTCTGTAATGGTATTACTTTTAAAAAGTCTCCATTAACGTCGTTAATTGACTCAAAGGCTTTTATAGTAGGTTTTACAGTTACTGTTTCTCTAAAATTTTCTCCAGTGTGTACGTCACGTCTTTTTCTTGATTTTGTTGTAGTTTCCACTGTACCAGTAGTAGTTTCGATAGAGACATCTGTTTGTATATCAACATTCAATTCTTTTTTATTGTCATCAATATTTTTTGAAGTTAAAAATCTCTTTCTACGTTTATCTACATACCGTTCGAAATATTGATGTTTCAGTTTATCAATATTCTTTGCGTTTCCGTTACTGTCTGAATCATGATCAGGAAATAACCCTCCTTTTAATACAGTAACATGAGAGAGATCATTCAATTCCTCAGAATTTTCATATTCCGATGCATCTTCGTGTATAACTAAATCGTCATCTTCCGGTTCATATACAGGCTGGTAAGAGTACAATCTATGACCAATTGGTTCTCCTTGTACATTATAAACCGTATACACAGCAGTGGGAAAGTTTTCTTCATCAGAACCCTCAATATCACCACCAGCAACCATATCTTCTTCAAAGTCTGTATCGAATTTCTTCATAAGCTTAAAGTTTGCGTGTCTTAATGTTTGTTTTTGGGTGTTATGGTTATATTTGTTATACAGTTGATCGACATATTGCTGTGTTGGATCTGTTTGTCTTTTTATGTGGTTGTAATATTGGCGTAGGTAGACATCTCTGCGATGTCGTATTTCAGGTTCTGTGACAGAACGTCGTCTACGGCTCCATCGTATCCGTGGATGCTGGTATAGTGTGCACCTAGTGACATTAATGATCAGTTACTAGCAACAAAGAATAATAATAACTATTGTAAATTGTAACAGTCGTTTATATTATTGGGGAACCGGAAAGTAATGTGGTTTCTGCGCATGTCAATACTTGATTGTCATTTATCAGCTCATTATTTTATTTAGAGGCGTGCAAAAACATTGGGAGGTCATAGTGAGATTTCCATAAGAAAAGCTTATGGAACATTAAATTTTAAATTGTTTCTTGTCATTTTGGGTATAAGATATTACAAATCAGCATTTTGAGGTTGAAACCTAACTTAGCAGTACTCCGAGGGATTTCATTTGGAGAGCCACTGCCTTTTGCGTTTAGGATTATCATTCAGGACCCATTATCATCCTGTGATAAAGTGAACAAAAAACAGTTGTGTTGTGTTGTTGGAGCAGAAAGTTGCATGTGATTGACTGTATAAATAGAAATTATGTAAACAACACACACGCAAACAGACACGCACGCACAATGTATTATATATAATCTAGAGTTACTTACTTAGGTAATTCTCTGGGGCTCCAATGACCACCCACACAAGTGGCTCCCGGAGGTCCTTCTGACAATACATACCCTTTCTCACACTCGTACATTATTTGTTTGTTATTTACTACCTAAAACAAATACTCAATATTATTTCATACCACATCGGGCCTTGATGGCAAAATTGACTGGAGAATTCACTCAATGCCATATAATCCCAAGCAATATATAGAGCCGTGTTATGGGTACTAGACAACTGATACAAATACATACATACATTTATTTTGTACATACAAACATACGACATCGGTGGTCTAACGGTTTAGCACACAGCTTTACGACCGATGGTCGCGGGTTCGATTCCTCGCACGGCACAAACATTTGTATTCATGAGTATGATTGTTTGTATCAGTCTGGGTGTTTTCTATGTATGTAAAAATATCTGTGTATATGTATCAGATATCTAGTACCCATGACACAAGCTTTAGCTAGCTTAACTTGGGTCTGGATGGCGGGGTGTGAATTGTCCTGAGATTATTATTATCGTTATTATTACACAAAAAAACACCTAGACCGATACAAACAATCAAGAGTGTACAAATGTTTGTAACGTGCGAGGAATCGAACCCGCCACCATAGGAAGTAACCATAGGTGTGTTAAACTGCTAGACCAAGAGGTCATCAACAGTAGATACATGCAGACATCTTTGTAACTTTTATGATATTCTATGTATGATACCATAAAAATTAGATATATTGCAATGTTTAAATTTGATACAACTCAGTGTTCACGACCCTTGTCATATGTAATACTATCTGTCCCCGCGACTTCGTCTGCGTGGAATTTAACTTTATTTTTCTAAAATAAAAGTAGACTCCCAAGTTACTCCTTATTACATTAGTTACCTGCCAAAAAAAGTCCCGTCAAAAACGGTCCAGCCATTTCAGAGATTGGCCGGAACAGACAGACAGACACACGTATTTATATTCATATTCATGTAGTAAAAACGGTTATTTCAATATTACAAACAGATGTATAGATATAGTATTTATTTATATTTCATTAGCAATCCCAAAAATAAGTTTCAAGCTTCTAGCTTCAAAAATGACGATTCTTCCATACAATCTTTCAACCCCTTACAACCCCATTTTCGCATTAAAAAGCCAATGTCCTTTCTCAGGGTCTAGACTATCTGTGTACCAAATTTCATTCAAATCGGTTCAGTAGTTGTGGCGTGAAAGCGAGACAGACAGACAGACAGAGTTACTTTCGCATTTATAGTATTAGTAAGAATTATATTCTCTATGCTGTTTTGAACACCACAATGTAGACTATAATGTCCATAGGTCGCTGGTTCAGATCCGGCTCGAAGGACCAAAAATGTGAATATAGGACTGTATATATATATGGGGCTGGTAGATATAACTATGCAAACACGGGTTTTAGGAAGCAATAATATAATATTATGTACGTAAAAGTATAAGAATTGACAATGTCATATATATTTTTCTATATAAAATAATAGAGGAAATACATAAATAATATAGAAAGCGGTGCGTCGTGCACAACTATATAGGATCATGGTCAGATGGTGTGGAATTAAAGTATCGTCTCACAAGTTATATACTCACCTTTTTCACATAAGGACGGTAGTCGTAAAGTCCCATATTCCCAACAAGCAAAACCTTCCCATTTTCAATATAGCCGGGAAATGGACAGAAAACTGTAAAAAAATTTAGGCATCTTGTAATCTGCTTCGCTTTGTAGTTAATTTATAGAATTAATAGAATAGAATAGAATAGAAAATGATTTATTCAAATAAACTTAATTTAAGCACTTTCGAATAGTCATAACTATTTTTTTTATCTACCTCTCGTTTGGAAAGCTGTCTCATCACAAGAAGAACGAGCAAGAAACTTGTGTTGCTCTTTTAAATAATCGTTGTAAGTTTACATTTACAAGTCGAAACGTGTGAATACAAACTACCAACAGCACTAATTTTAGGGTCAAATATAAATGTACAATAAGATTAAATCAGTCGTAGTGATAAGAGCAGACCAGTCCCTACAACGAGTATGTCGTATGAGCCAGCCATCACTACGCTCGACCATATTTTAGGCAGCCCAATAACCCGGCCCACCACGCCGCCACATGTCTGGACATTTTAGTGAGCATGACTACTCATTCAACTCGACCACGTCACAGCTACTAGCTACGAGCTGTGATCCCCTATTTTGTTATTACGGTTATTTTTCACAACGCTATAAAAAAAATATCCCTATAAGGGTGGTCTACCCCAAAGTATTATTTCATATTTTTTTTATTTTAACATTTTGAATGTGCCATTACAATATAGATACAATCAAAAATTTTCACACTTTATTTTCATTCCACCATCAACCCCTACTACACGAAGTGGACCACCTATATCTCTTAGGGAGTTAAGTAATCAAAATTTCACCCTTCTATCATCAACCCCTATTTTTAATGGAGATATTAATTTTTTTTGGCAGTGCAACGTTCCCCGGATCAGCTAGTATTCTGTACCAGTTTATAAGTAATTTTTCATTCGTGTCATTTGTTTCACCACCGTCACCCGCCAGAAACTAAAATACCATCCTGATCATCTGGATGAATGGCGGTCTTCCACAGCGCGGTTTTCTAGAAACTTTTTGCCTCGCACAACCACATTGTGGAATCACCTTCCAGCAATGGTATTTCCGAACCGATACGATATTGAAACCTTCAAGAAAAGAGGTTATTCCTTTTTAAAAGGCCGACAACATACTTGTCCAACTCCCCTGGTGTTGCGGGTGCTCATTTATTTATTTATTTAAGATAAGGTACTCACCACACTTACAGATATACCAAAGCGTGTAGTGAGCCAATAATATAACATAACGAATAATATAATTACATAAAAAACAACACTCAATAAACTTATTAATATTGTCGTGAAAAATATCGACCTCTGGCTGCTCCGAAACCAAGCTATTGAGCAGCGAGAGCTCGTGGGCGGCGGTAATCACTTACCATCAGGTAGGCCGTATGCTCGTTTGCCCCCTGTGTTATAAAGAAAAAACGTTACCTTCTTCACATTTGGGCGCCTCCCCGCTCCAGTTGCCAAATGAGCAGACGACGATCGGGTTCCCTTTCAGCTCGTATCCATCCTTGCAGCGGAACCTGGCCTTCATCCCGTGCTCTGTCTTGGGGGCGATTACCATACCGTTGCGTGGATACTTGGGCATTTTCTTGCATCTGTACGACATTTTAGAAATAAGTCAACTTACCGTATCTAAGTTACAAAGCTAGTTTTTTTGTAATAAATATACTAACATTATTTATACATATAAATAAAATTGGAGCGTCTGTTCTGTAGTGTGCATCTAAATATATATAACTCAAAGGTGACTGACATAGTGATCTATCAACGCACAGCCTAAACCACTGGATGGATCGGGCTGAAATTCGGCATGCAGGTAGATGTTATGACGTTAAGAAAGGAAAGGTCCGCTAAGAAAGGATTTTGATTAATTCTACCCCCAAGGGAATGAAATACGAGATGAAAGTTTGTATGAAATAAATAAAACTTTGTCAATATTAAACCGATCGGGTTGAGACTTTGCATACATAAAGCTACTATGACGTAGGCATCCCCTAAGAAAGGATTTTGATAAATTCCACACCTAAGGGGATAAATTAAAGCAAGCGAAGCCGCGGTCAAAAGCTAGTATGATTTTGACGGGACTTTTATTGGCAGGTAACTGATGTAATAAGAAGTAACTTAGGCTACATTTATTTAAGAAAAATAAAGTTAAATTCCACGCGGACGAAGTCGCAGGGTACAGCTAGTAAATGGATAAAAGGAACGTATTCCGCCGACCCTGAATGAATGGGATAAGGAAGAAGCAGTTGACGATGATGAAAGAAGTACCTGGCTGGCTGACATCTGGGGATCTGTGTCCAGGTGCCGTTGTTGCAGGTGACCGCCGCGTTGTTGGAGGGGAACTCGTAATTCTTCTCGCAGTCTACCAGGATTATCTCGCCTGGATAAAAAATAATTTTTAATCGGCACACGCGCACAAATGGTCCGGTCGGTTCGCCGACCACTCGTATAACACAATGCAAAGTCCAAATGCAACCAGGCCCCTCTTCCCCACTAGGCACACTGGGCACGTGTCCAGGGCCCGATGGATTGGGGCCCCCTAATTTAGTCCAGTCCTTACTCCATTACCAAACGATAACCGAAGACTACTCTATTCTCGCCTGAAAATCCTGGGTCCTGGGGCAAATGAAAAATGGGGCCCACTGTTCAGCAGTGGGAAGAGTTTGAAAAGTCCAGTTCGATCGAGATTTTCTGGTAAGGTTTCGAAGGCCCGCTGAGCTTGAGGGCCACGGGGCACCGCCCCGCCTAGCTCCTAGGTAGCTACGCCACTGCAATTCTGTCTGTCATCACTATCAATTCAGGCTCCCAGGTTCTCGACGAAGTAGGTCATAGACACACGCGCACAACTCGTCCGGTCAGTTCGCCGACTACTCGTATAACACAATGCAAAGTCCAAATGCAACCAGGCCCCTCTTACCCACTGGGCACGTGCCCAGGGCCTGCGATGGAATCGGGACCCCTAGTGTAGTCTAGTCCCTACTCCATTACCAAACGATAACCGATAGCTACTCTACTCTCGCCTGAAAATCAGTCTTAACAAATGCTTACCGACTATGGTCAATTTGTTCGTTTTTGTTATTTTTTTTATAAATGTCTAGCAAGAACTTGAAGGCTTATAACATAACGACTTTTTAAAAATATTTTTTCTGGCTTGTTTTGAAGGTAGGACATCCCCATATACAACTGTGAAGAGTTATAGTTCAAAAATGACTTTGTCTCATCATCATTATCATCTCAGCCCGGAAGACGACGTGCTGAACAAAGGCCTCTCCCAAAGATCTCCACGACGATCAGTCCTACGCTGCTCGCATCCATCGCGTTCCAGCGATCTTGTCTATTCTGACAAAATAGTGCTTTATTACTATGGTCATAGGGGCCTCATTATCCTAATGTGCCCACAGCCTCTATTAGGTGAAAGACGGCCCTGGCAAACAGCGACCACAACAATGTTCCTGTCCCGCCTACGTTACGTCACCAAGGAACAGGACATTGTCGACTATATCCGGATCAAAAGTAACCTGTCATTGAGGGTGACGCAGGTATAGAGTCACAACGCGAGCTTCAAAGAGTTCGTGGCCCGAGTACCCATCAACATGCTATCCAGCTTGTGTTATGGGTACTAGACAACTGATATAAATACTTAGATTTTTAGAATACATATGTAGCAACACAGTTTCTACACGTGCCACCATCTACTTCCTAGAATCCTTATCGCATGGCACGTGTAACATTAGAAACGCAGCTGCGCGACCTTCGACCCGTCGTTACCTGCAGCTGCGCTTACGGGACACGTGTATAATGGTATATAAGTCCCGAATATTTTTACAATAAACACACTTCTATTCTGTCCATCGAGTCTATCATTTGAAGCTCCCCAATTCTCAACGAGTAGGTCATATACCTAATATATAATAAAAGGACGTGTATACACATCTCCTTAAACATACATATACATAAAAAACACCCCGACCGATACAAACAATTATACACATGTGTACAAATATTTGCACTGTGCGAGGAATCGAACCCGCGACCATCAGAAGTAAGGTGGTGCTAAACGAGACCATCGAGGTCGTAAAACAGTTACCGTGTTGCACCATAGAACTGCTGCCAACAATCTGAGTATTGGTTTCCTGTGTATCATTTTCACCAGTCTTATTCTCCACCAGTACGACCCGTCCCTGCGACACGTGGGGCACCACGCAAGGAGCTGCAACATACAAACAAAAATAATCTTTATTCAATTACATTAAGCTTCCTTTTTACTTGTAATCGTGTAGATTCAGCTAAGAAAGAGAGAGAAACTTGACTTAGAAACTTTTCTTATAACCTTATAATTCCCTGGTATTTCTATATAGATAACTTGCTGTCCCCAAGTAGAAAAAGTCAATATTAGGTTTAGGTTTAGGTTTAGGTTTAGGTATGGGAATTGGTATAAAAACTTACAATAAGATACCACAGGATATACTGGAATTACCCTTAAATAAATTCAAAACAACTGTTAAATAATATTTACTGAGCAAAGCCTAACTCACTAAACGACTACTTGAATGACGAGCGTGCATGGCAATAGTTGTTCATGCACGGGATTTTCATTTAATGTTAGACATAGACACCTATATAAATATACGTTGTAAATAAATTGGCTTTAAAAAAAAGTAATTCAATTGAGTTTCTTGCAAGTTCTTCTCAATTGGATCTACATATTGAACAGGACGGTAGGAAAAAAAATTAATATGTTCTGTATACTATACTAGCTGACCCGCGCAACTTCGTCTGCTTTTCATTTCCACACCCCTTGCAATATTTTTCATTGCAGCTCCGCTCCTATTGGTCGTAGCGTAATGTTATATAGCTTAAAGCCTTCCTCGACAAATGGACCATCCAACATAAAAATATTTCTTCAATACCAATATTTCCTGAGTTTAGCACGTTCAAACAAACAACCATCTCACGGTAAGCAGAGCTTGTGTTATGTGTACTAGACAACTGATATAAATACATAGAAAACACCCAGACCGATACAAACAATCATACCCATTAATACATTGTTTGCACTGTGCGAGGAATCGAACCCGCGGCAATTGGAAATAAAGTAGTCTTAAAGATATTGGAAATAAAGCTAAACTGATGGACCACCGAGGCCGTTAATATAAATCTAATAAGCTGCTAATGGTAAAGACAGATGGCCGTTGGGGCAGTATAGTCCTCGATTGGCGACCGGAAGACATAGCGTGGGAAGGCCTCTAACAAGCTGGAACGACGATCTGGTCGAGATCGCTGGAAGGCATTGGATGCGAGCAGCGCAGGACCGATCGTCGTGGAGATCTTTGGCAAAGGCCTTTGTTCAGCAGTGGACGTCTTCCGGGCTGAGATGATAATGATAATGATGATGAAGCTGCTAATGTTACAATTTACTTTAACTGACCTAAACACATTGGTAAGGGATGACTCCAAGTGCCATCACTTTGGCAAATAGCAGATCCGTTTCCTTCCATCCTCATGCCATCCTGGCATCTGAATATAAGCGATGCTCCAAGACCAGTTCCTGATGATATGTTCTCTAGCCATCCGTTCCACAGTTGTCCTGGGTGTCCGCAGTTGATCTCTATAAACATGTAATTTTTATGTTCATCTTAATATTAATCAACTTTATTTGTCTCAAATAAAACTAATACAGTATAGTACATACACCAAAATAATATTATTTACAATGTTTGTCTGTCTGTCTGTCTGTTTGTTCCGGCTAATCTCTGAAATGGCTGGCGATTTATTGGCGGGACTTTTATTAGCAGGTAGCTGATGTAATAAGGTGTAAATTAGGCCATTTTTATTTTAGAAAAATACAGTTAAATTCCACGCGGATGAAGTCGCGGATACAGCTAGAATAATAATAAAAATAATGAAAGTGTACCCGCATACATTCTACATGTGTGGCACTTTAGTCCTTGCAATTTCTTAAAACTCTTATCGCACGGCACGTGTAACATTAGCAACGCAGCTGCGTGACCTTCAAGCCGTTGCTACGTGCAGCAGCACGTGAACGCGACACGTGTAACTTTGTATATAAGTCCGTACATCTCCTCAGTAAAGACACTTCTATTCTATCTCTCGGCTGTATCATTACAAGCTCCCAGGTTCTCGACGTGGTATATAGACCTAAACCCTAAAGAGACGTGTACACACACCCCCTTAAAAATGAGTTGAAACGTTTGTTGTTTCGTTTCGTTGAAACAAAACGGTTGTTCCCGCGAACACTTCTAGCGTGGACAAAGAGAGACCGCGGCACGGAACGGGGAACGGCGTCCAGCACAGATTTCACTTGGCACTGCACCATCGTCGTAAGCGCGTGTGTACCGTTTCCCTCTAATATAATAACCCAGTTGATACAGTCCAACCAAGTTTGATTCATCTCCTAGGAGAAGGATTCCAAACATAAAGTGGTCATCCGGCTCGAAGGACCACTTTACGTCTCTCAACGTCATTTTGCCTCCGCTAGCAGTGTTCGCGCGAATGCGGTCTATAACTGAGAGGGATAACTGGGGCAGTGAGTCCACCCTCTCTGGTACTCTGTCATAGCCTTTATTAGTAAATTAGTATAATGAGAGATGTTCAAGATCCTTTAGTTCAAATGTTATGCAATTACTAGAGGTAGATTAGGGGTAGATTCTCAACTTGGTATATAGTAATTTAATCCATTACAAACAGACATGTAAGGTTTACACACAACCATCTTAATAAATGATGAATTTGACGATGTGTTTGTTAACTTCATGCTCATCTTATTATCCTCCACTGGTGCCCTGCCAGCGTAAACCGTTAGCGCAGGCGTGTGCACCATTCCATTATCATCAATTAAGATACCAGAGGCATCTGTAAAAGTCGTCTACGTATGTACTTCTGTCTCACCTAATTCAGGCGTCAAACAGCTTGCTGTCTAAGCTATTTCGGCTGTAGAGAGTAGCTTAAAGGAAAAGAGGCATGACAAGCAGCATGCTATTTAAGCTGTATTTCATATGTAATGCAGATAACCCAGTTGATACAGACAAGAGCCGTGAAATCTTGGTCCTTGATTCATCTAACATGATCATATATAAACGATGGTTACCAGTTAACAGGTAGACCGAAGTGGTCATCCGGCGCGAAGGACCACTTTACGTCTCTCAACGTCATTAGGACTAAATAACGAGATGACTGCGAACAGGGATGAATGGAAGAGAAAAACATATTATGACGACCACAAATAAATGGGATAAGGAAGAAGCAGATGATGAAAGGTCGTTTTTCCATGTAAATTAATATAGCCATTAAAAAACAGGTGTTGATGATGGAAGGGTGAAAGTACCATTGTGGATGGCAAAAAGTTTATTGAAAAACCGCATTGTGGAGGAACGCCATTCATTCAGATGATCAGGATGGTATTTTAGTCTGTTTCAATTAAATTAAGAAAGTATATTTAATTAAAACAAAAAATAACACAGCGCCATCTAGTCCCAAGCTAAGCAGAGCTTTTGTTATGGGTACTAGACAACAGAAAAAAGTACGCATAAACATTTTTTTGTAAATACGTACACAATATACATAGAATACAACCAGACCGATACAAATCTTCATATCGTGCACGGAATCGAATCCGCGACCATCCGAAGGTAATGTGATAAATCTCCTAAGGTCTCGACTAAGGTCGTCGAAAAAATCACCACATAAATCTATAAGGGCGTGAATATACAGTGCGAAAAGATAATGTTACCTTTACACATTGGCTGAGCTCCGGACCACTTCTTGTCAGCTCCGCAGCGCCTGGTGGCGTCTCCAACGAGCCGGTATCCATATTTGCATTCATATGACACCACTGAGTTGTAAGCACACGATGTGTACACAGCCTTGCCGTGTCTGGGGGCTTCAGGCGGTGGGCACTGCACCTGGGTCACCACTAGATGGCGACAGGAGTCGCTTTAACCTAACTCCACTTTTACACAATAGATGGCGTTGTTAATTAAATTTGACATGACTTGCTTAATCTTTTCGTAATGTTTGTTACATTAATGTATTCGTTATTTCAAAGGGAATAGAAGCGATTATCGTTTGGAATAGCATGCAGAACATAAAACGACACGACATGCACGAAATAAAACAATTGTTCAATTTTTACCTTTATTTCGCTACAGCATATGTAAGGTACATTTAAGAAATTCTTTACAATAAATTCTTGCACGTTTAAAGCCTTCACTACTTAAATAATTGTATAATAGTAATCATCTACAAGTCGCTAACGTTTGCTTATAGGCAGTTATAGTATTTTATCATGGCCATATAGATTTAGAGTCCACTAGTATTCAAAAGTTACTAATCATATAGAATTTGAATAGTACAACAATTCTATTGTAACAAATACTTTTATTAAGACACACTACGTTATGTAATGATAGATTCAGGGTGTCCCTTTCTCTCCTCCCTCTGAACAGCGGCAAAAAAGGAGAAAAAATATATTTATAATTTCATTAATCACAACTAACTATTAATGGAAATCCCACTACGATTCTAAACATCGAAACACCAAAAACATTTATCATAGATGAATATAAAATTAACGAAGATAATGTTAATTTAAATAACAATATAACAATAGTTACTGAAAACGATAAAACAGACATTCCGAAAGAAGTAGCAGATGGCAGTAATGATATAGAAGTAATATATAAAGTGGGAGATCCATTAATCTAATTGCATCATGACAATGATATTGCTTACATGATAGCCATGATAATAGCCGTAATACAAGCGTCATGCCAACTAGTCACCGTTAAAGACATGGAGATTTCCACAAAATTCCACAAATTCGAAAACCATGCAACATTCCAAAAGATAACACGTAAATTGGCAACTACATTGTCACGAAGCAATGCCAGACGATATCAAAACGTATCCGTGTTTAGCGACGAGTCTGTTACCTTATATACATCTAATTACTCATTTAGAACTATTTATCATTTAAATGATAATTATTTAAACTTACAACATAAAGAAGAAATATGTAATGTATAGTTTATAAAAGAGAAATATAAAAAATACTTGACGAATTTCAAATCCTTTCACCAAAAGGTACATCATCAGCGAGTAATAAAAGTTCTATGCGAGGTATCAGTAGAAGAATATAAAGACGCAATTTGTTGATCATCAACAAAATAGTGACTATAATTCAAGATGATTTATCAGGCAACTTGACAACAGTTTCTTCTGTAGTAAACGTTGCCTAAGTAAATCTTACTTAAAGATGAAATTGCTTTTCAACGATTATGTCGCCCATTGCTTCCTCTTCTCTTTGACAATGTTGTATGTTTATACATATTTATATATTAAGTGTATATAAATGTTTGTTTGTATTATACGAGGAGAACAATAAAGAATTTCCATTCCATTTCATAGACGTGGGCTCCTAAAGCGTAATTTTACTAACAATATAGGGATAGAAATTTATTTGCATTTTGAGAGAGTTAATTTTATTGGAACTTCATTCAAAGCTATTATTATTTTACGAAATATTAACGTCAATCATGTATCGGTATTATTCTATATTGTAATTGTATTATTTATATTATAAACTGTATTATCAAATAAACTTAATTGCAGACCGCTTCGACTGATTTAGGTTTTATCTGTTTTTGATTGATTTGGTTTGTATAAACTATACATGAGATTTCCAGGATAACTGCATTCAACTGTATTATAAATTTATTAAGCTACATAGTAACAGACTCATCCCTAAAATAACAGAAATAAAATCATTTATTGTCGATGATATCAACAAACGATATGCCCAGACATGTCGTCAATGAAACAATCACTTTCCATAGATAGTAATGTAGCGAATTAGAAGGTCAAAGTAACAGTAAATTACTCTGTAATAAATCTTAAGTAACTCTTTATTTATTATATTTGAAGTTTCTACCGTTGAACTAATTTTGGTATCCAGTTTTAGATTTAATTAACTCTTGGAGAAGGATGTTGTTGAAGAAATTAATCATATTTTGGAATCCATTATGCTCGTAAGGTTGTAAATGAAATTATCAAGTTACAGATACGGTAAATAAAAATTAAAAATAATAATGTAATGGGAGAGAGAGATAATAATGTAACGTCGAGAGAGGTAAATACCTTTATTTGCCATAAAATTATTCGTGATAATATAAATAATTAATAATGTAATATAAAATCGTATGCCCATAGATTAGGCTAGGTTTGGAAATCTTGTAATAATGGTAAAAATAATAGGTTTACACTTTTCTTCTAAAGAGGCAAAAATTACGAGATTTTAGGGGAGTAATCTCTGGTTCTTTTTTTATACTACTATGGTGGCAAATAAGCATACGGCCCATCTGATCGTAAATGGTATACCGTATATATACCTTTCTACTAAATCGATTTTGAGAATTCTTTTACCAATAGAAAGCCAATATCTGTGAGTGTCATAGGCTATATAAGACCATGCTACAATCAAAAGGAGTGGAGGTGAAATGAAAAATGATCTAAAAATGGGGAAATGTGACGCAAATGAAGTTGCAACGGTCAACTAGTAAAATGTATTTTAGTATATTGAGTGCAATGCAAACTTGAACGACTTTCATTGAATTTAGGAGGTTTGGACAAGTTTTCTAAGAGCAATGCTGACAAATTATAACGTCGAAGACATCTCTGGGGTATCGTTTCATAATATCATCGAATATACCCATAAACCCGAATCAAATACTTACGGACACAAGTGGGCAGCTCCTTGGGAGCCCAAACACCATCAGCCTGGCAGTATCTCTCAGCCTTGCCGACCAGCTCGAACCCTTGACCGCACTGGACCACTGCGCGACAACCGAAGGTGTGGCAGTCTGCGGTGACCCACCCGTGGGGGACATCTCCTGGTTCACCGCAGGAACGAGCTGAAATTATAAGAAATAGAAATATTATTTATTCAAATAAACATTTTTGAATAGTCATGTATTATGAATTTACCGTTCTTGTTTTTTTTTCAGACTATTCTAATGCTGTTGGTAGTAAAGACAAACTGCGACCAACAGCATTACCGGTGTAGCAGCTTCACCAGACGATATAGGGCGAGTGCAGATGTCACTCCAAACCAGTGGAAAAACTTATGGGGCGGCTGAAGGCCAATTTCAGCCTGACGGATTTGACTTTAGTCTGAGGGCACCGCTAGTCGTCGTGATTTCGACCCCCAATTCATTTTGACGAAGAATCAATCGTAAAGTACAAGAATTCCGGTGTGAAGAACTCGGTTGATTGCGCTTGATTATAGGGATTGTGAGCTATGCTCATGAGAAATCACTGGTCAACTTGGCTATTAAAGTACGTCAATATATGAGCGACATCAAAAAATCGCCCAAATCCTATTTTAAAGACTTTAAAATGTCTTCCATTTGATTCATATAATACTTACGTTCGCAACTTATATCTGGTCCATACCACGAGGCCTGTCCGTCTATTGCTAGACACTTGGCTCTAGGGAAACCGTTGGTGACGTAGCCAGTGTGGCAGATGTACTGAACTGTTGCGTCCAGATCGAATGTGGCCTGTTCAGGTAATGCAGAATGGCGGGCGTGCTCTATTGTAGGTGGTTGCAGGCAGTAAACTGGAAAGGATGAGGGAAAATTTAAAGCCATCTGCATGGGTATCTCAGCCTCATCTTGATTTATATTTTTTATTTTATCTATACATATAAATAAAATTGGAGTGTCTGTTTGTAATATTGAAATAACCGTCTTTTACTACATGCATATGAATAAAAATACGGTACATTCACCAAAGTACGATTTTTTGCAATTTTTGTATATCTATCTATCTATAATCTCTGAAATGGGTAGACCAATTTGGTAGGACTTTTATTGGCAGTTAGCTGATTTAATGATGTACAAGCTCAAAAAGAATATGAGCTGAGTTTCTTGTCAGTTCTTCTCATCTCGTAATCATTCCTAACTGACGGTAGATTTGACATATTATAAGAGTCTGTAATAGATCTTTTGATGTGATAACTTAGGCTGCCACTTACTGTTCTCCTTGCAGGCTGGTGGCTGTCCAGCCCACTTGCCGTCGGCCTGGCAGCTCCGACTCTGCAGTCCCACCACGTGGTAGCCATGTGGACAGGAATACGTCGCCCTGCGTACCACAATAAACTCAAACACAAAGTACAAAGGCAGAACTAACTCGGTCAACTGACCGAGTGCCGTACGTGAAACTTCACGGCACGGCAATTTGTATATACATAGAAAACACCCAGACCAATGCAAACAATCATACTTATGAATACAAATGTTTGTGCCGTGCGAGGAATCGAACCCGCGATCATCAGAAGGTGTGCTAAATCACTAGACTACCGAGGCCGTTGAATAGATATATTTAATAATGGAATGTTAACTTGGTCCTGGATACTGATTTATAATGAATTGTTTAATTGCAAATAGAAGTAATGCTATTGACATCTATTGACCGAGTTTCATAATTTTTATTAAAACAGTGAGGGTACAAAACTGGTCTGTAAACGATATTTAGAAATAATTATTCATTCCTGTCTTAGCCACAGTACTGTTAAGACGTACCAATAAAGGATTACGAATATAAAACACATTTTCATTTCTGTTAATAGAGAACCCATTTAGTTTTTTACTAGCTACTTGCTCCAGCTTCGCTCGGGTGTACATGTATGATATATATAAACCTTCCTCTTGAATCACTCTACCTATTAAATATAACAGCTTCAAAATAAGTTGCGTACTTTTAAAGATTTAAGCATACATAGGGACAGACAGCGATAGCGACTTTGTTTTGTACTATGTAATGATGATAAAATACTTACTTCCCACCGAATAACTTTCCATCTACCGTCACATGGCCGACTTCCGGCTGCTCCAAGTCGGGACATTCTCGATCTGAAACAACCATTCTCGTTAACACCAGAATTTTCAAAACCTCTTTCATTGAAATATAAATAGAAATAATCTTTATTCAAATAAACTCATTACAAGCACTTTTGAATAGTCATATTTTGATTCTACCACTCATTCGGAACGCAGACTCATCACAAGAAGAATGAGCAAGAAACTTGTGTGTTGCTCTTTTTAATAGATTTTTTTTTATAAATATATACAGTATAACAAGTAAGAGGCATGTGGTAATCAATATAGAAACCGCACTCATTGTTAGTGTAATCAGATAATATTGTCAGTGCTATGGATTTTAAGTTTTTCTATAAAAACATTATTATCGTTAACGAATTCTTCAATTTTGTAGTAAGCTATTTTACAAAGGAAGTGTTTTATATGACATTTAAATCTTTTTTCAGGCAGATGTATGCTACAAGAAACAATAGTAATTTTTCTGTTGATAAATAATCACTCATGTTAAATGGTTTTATAAGTAGCCCAGTTGATATGGTAAATGTTATCTATACATATAAATAAAATTGGAGTGTCTGTTTGTAATATTGAAATAACCGTGTTTTACTACATGCTTCGATACATACACCAAAATAACATGTTTTACAATTTTACGCGATTCCGTCCGCGTGGAATAATGCTTTATTTTTCTAAAATAAAAGTAGCCTAAGTTACTTCTTATTACATCAGTTATCTGTTAAAATAGTTCCGTCAAAATCAGTCCAGCCATTTCAGAGATTAGCCAGAACAAACAGACAGACAGACAAACAAAAATGATAAAAAATGTTATTTTGGTGTATATATCGTATTTATATTCATATGCATGTCGTAAAAGACGGTTATTTCAATATTACAAACAGACACTCCAATTTTGTTTATATATATAGATTTTGACCGTTTCATTTTTGCTCTGCGAGTAACACAGCCATGTCCATCTCACCCGGGAGCTGTGACTCTTTCATTATTAATGACTTCATCTTCATTAGGGGCATGAATTTATTTTTTTTGTACGTCATTTAATTAAAATTTGTTTTTGACAATTTTAATCAAACGCTCAAGTCCGCTCGATTAGAATTTGTTTTGTGTCAGTTTTTGAGGAGACACGACGTTTTCACGATTGGAATGTGGAAGTTTATATGGTTACTAGTTGTACCCGCCACTTCGTCGCCATTTTAGAGATTAGCCGGAATATACAGACAGACAAAAATTGTTAAAAATGTTATTTTGTCATATATACTGTATTTATATTCATATGCATGTAGTAAAAAATGGTTATTTCAATATTACAAACAGACATCCAATTTTATTTATATGTAGATTGATTATCAACAACAAAAAGACAAACAACATTACTCAGATTTTTTTTGTATAAAGTTGAATAGTTCATAGAATACAGGTCACTAGCTACTCGCCCCGGCTTCGCCCGGGTGTACATGTATTGTATATATAAACCTTTCTCTTGAATCACTCTATCTATTAAAAAAACCGCTAAAGATTTAAGCCTACATAGGGACGAACAGACAGCGACAGCGACTTTGTTGTATACTGTGTAATGATATATCACGCCATCGAATGAGTGATAGTATAAAAAATATGACAAAATTTATTTGCATTGAGATTCTTTCTACTTCTATTTCTAGATATAACTCTTATACAATAATTTACTTATATACAAATACAAAATAAACACTCCTGTGTATTTTGTATTTGTATATAATATTTGTGTGTATATATGTATATAAATTGTATTATATATATATATATATGATAGCGCAAACTCAATACAATGACTATTTTCATTGTTAATTAATTAATTTAATTATATTCGACCTATATTGATCAAATCACTGTCATTTAATATTTAACATAATGAAGTATTAAAGTTAAGGATTATTATAAATGTTGTAAATAACGCCATCTGGTACTTATAGACCGAACTAAGTTGTTTGTCATAAGATAATCGTTACGCCTGCTTCTCTCCCTACTACACTGACTTCGGTCTATAAATACGGAGGTCGGTAATTGAATAACTCTCTTTCTGTGTGTAACCGTTGCACCGAATACATCTCTGGAATTTGATAAAAGTGTTTATTATTTAATTATCGTAACGATGAGTTGTCTGGTATCAATCCCCGCTCTTACATGTATGTAAGTAGTATATGTAAATTATTATTATTTAGTATTAATATGCCTTTTTTATTTCTCTAGTCCATTCTTGCGCCATCTACCACTTTCTGTCTTCTCTCCTCTAGCCAAAGGTTGTCTGTAAGAGATTGCTTACGCGATAAGACCGCCTTTTGTACCTTATTACTTATTACTTGTTTGTTCTTTGTTTAATTGTTTGTATTTCTGGTGCAATAAAGTGTTAATAAATAAATATAACATAAATGTTTTATTTTCTTGTCAGTCTCGCGGAGCCTTTCACCATATCAATATATGTGTAATGCTTCTTATAGTATTTATGTAGTACAAGTAGTTTAATAATAATTCATCACATTATTTACAGTTTATTCATACTTTATATATTTTGATAAAGAGCTCGATGTTTAATATTTATGTAATTTTTTAGTAATAAGTATAGTATAAGTCTACTAGTAGGTACGTACGTACGTACTAGCCAACAGAATATCAGCGCTGCAGAGTTATCTGTAGCATTATGCTGAGTTGGCTGCCTTTTCACTTTTGCGGCACATAAAGTCACCTACATTTCTTTTATTAATTCGTGTTTTTCTGTATCTCATGTATGTTGTGTCTGTAATTGTGAATAAAGAATACATCTATCTATCTATTTATGGTTGTCGTTTGATTATCAACAACAAAAACAACAAAACACAAACAACATTACTCAGATTTTGTGTATAAATTTGAATAGTTCATAGAATGTAGGTCATGTATTATATCCGGACTGATTGTACTTATACAGGGGCGGATCGTGAATTTGTCGGGCCCTGGTCTAAACACAGGAGTCTTAAACTAGGCTGGGGCCCTTGGCCAGATAAGAATTTGGGGCCCTTTTGGAAAGTAAAAAAAAAAGCTCATTAGGTATAAGAACATAGGAATAGGCGAAGTAATCGGTATAAAGGCGTAGTATATGCCTTGTGATAACCTTCTGATAACATTACTGATTTGTGAAAAAAGTGTAGTGTGCCCGACAAAAATCTTTTGAGAATAAATGTGTGAGAAATATTGTCAGTCCTTCGAGAGCCCCCTGAGAATGAAGGCCCTGAGAGCGGACCCCGTGTACCCTTATGGTAAAGACGGTATTGGGTCTAAATCTACTTAGGCGCCTACCTAATAATATTACTCAACTAAAAAATACACCGACCAAAAACAAGCGACCAGAAATTCCCCGTTCCTTTCTATAGACGCGCACTTGCATCAGTTGATTGATCTCAGGGTTGCCAACCTTATGATAGGTTTTTTAACATTCTAGATATTTTGTTATATTCTAAACATCGTTCCAGGGACTGAGGGCGCTTTGTATCATCGGGGCCCTGGGCTGCCGTTCAAAAAGCCCGTAGGTAGATCCGCCCCTGTACCTACATGTTGATATATAATTCTAGCCGTTGCATACAACGTGAGAGCAAAACAGTGCTACATCTCGCTCAGATGTGAAAGATAATTGATTGCAATCTGTAGAGATGCGCCGCAGCATCACTTGCAAATGGAAGCTGAGCGAGAACACTGTATTTAGTAGTAACTATTACAATTAGCAAAAACAGCAGGTTTTTTTAAGATAAATGAAATTATACACAAATCTTTTGAATCTTAATTCTTAATCTATACATACAAATAAAATTGGAGTGTCTGTTCGTAATATTTAAATAACCATTTTTTACTACATGCATATGAATATAAATATTGTACATACACCAAAATAACATTTTTTACAATTTTTGTCTGTCTGTCTGTTTGTTCCGGATAATCTCTGAAATGGCTGGACCGATTGTGACGGGACTTTTATTGGCAGGTAGCTGATGTAATAAGGAGTAACTTAGGCTACTTTTGTTGTAGAAAAATAAAGTTGAATTCCACGCGGACGAAGTCGCGGGTATAGCTAGTATATAATATATACAGTAATACGCAGACCGACCCAAACAATCATACTCCTATTTCTACCGTGCGAGGAATTGAACCCGCGACCATCGGAACGAAAGCGGTCTGCTAAATATAATAATTATCACTACATAGTATAAAACAAAGTCGCTGTCGCTGTCTGTCCCTATGTATGCTTAAATCATTAAAACTACGCAACGGATTTTGATGTGTTTTTTTTTAATAGATGGAGTGATTCAAGAGGAAGGTTTTTATATAGAATACATGTACACCCGTGCGAAGCCGAGCTGAGTAGCTAGTATCAGTATATAGTTAGATGTATAATAGTAGCTACTCGAATTGAACCTTGACCCATTGGAGTCGATGGACCGCCCCTCGACTGGAGGCCACTTCAGTACAGTAATTGGCTCTATCCTCCATGCTCCACTTGAAGCCGACCCTCGGCTGCAGACCAGCTCGTCCACTTTTTATTACCCCTCAAAATGTGATTCATTGTTTATCTCACTAATATTATAAATGATAAAGTTTGTGTTTCTGGAACTTTCACGCAAAACTAACAAATAATAATAATAATAATTGTTGGACCGACCGCCGAACTATTTGATATTTTTATTATTTTTAAATTTATATTTTTGAAGAGTTTTTTTTTATATGTCATGTTATTTGATATACTTCAAATTATTGTATCATTCTATCATTGTCTTTCGTATAGTTCGCAATTGCACATATTAATATATTGTATTATTGCAAACTACGTGTTTTCATCATTTAGACACCCATACAGTCCACCGATCCGTTACAATAATAATAATAATAATAATTGTACGCCGGTTTCTCTCCCTGGGGCCCCGAACCCCGGCTGACTGTGCTTCTACCGTGTGCCATCTCCTCTCCTTAAGAGGGGAGATGAGAATATTTGGAAAAAAAAAAAAATAATA